CGGCAACAGCCAAGCACAGCCTCAGCAGCAGAACACCGGCTCGGCCTTTGGAGGAGGATTTGGTCAGCAAAACCAACAAACGGGCGGCGGCGGACTGTTCGGCAACACTCAACAGAAGCCAGCAACGGGAGGTGGTCTCTTTGGAGGCGGCGGCGCGACGACAGGCGGAGGACTTTTTGGTGGTGGAAACACTGCTTCCACCTCATTTGGTGCCACAAACACGAACACGAACACGGGCGGTGGTCTCTTTGGGGCGAAACCGGCAGCTACCAGCGGCGGCCTGTTCGGATCCAACCCGGCAGGACAGACCAACAACACAGGTGGTGGTCTCTTCGGCGGCGGCCTGGGCCAAAATAACCAGGCTCAGCAACAAACAGGTCAAGGCTCTCTATTCGGAGGAGCCCAAAACCAGGCCAAGCCTGGTGGCTTGTTCGGCTCATCCCAACCCGCTAGCAGTGGCATGTTTGGTGGACAGAACAACCAACAGCAGGGCGGTATGTTCGGGGGTGCTAACCAGCAGCAACAGCAACCACAGAACTCGCTTTTTGGTGGTTCACTGCTGGGCAACTCCCAAGGAGTAAGCCAAGGTCCCCAGTCTCTCACTGCCAACATCAACGACGTGTCTGCGTATGGCTCGCCCTCCCTCTTCTCCAACTTGGGAGGCTCAGAGACGCCCAACCCCGGTCCTCTTGCCACACCTCTTTCCAGCAAGTCTAAGCCTAGACGCAGCTCCATCTTGCCCATGTACAAGTTGAATCCCGCGTCAGCTGCTCGCTTCGTCACTCCCCAAAAGCGAGGCTTTGGATTTTCGTACAGCACCTATGGTACACCTGGAGGCAGTCCTTCAAGCGCAGCGAGTACCCCTGGCGGTGCCAGCCGCAGCTTGTTGGGCTCTTCGAGCTTCAACCGCAGCTTGAGCAAGAGTGTGTCAACCAGCAACCTGCGGAGAAGCTTCAATGCCGAGGATAGCATCCTTGCACCTGGTGCTTTCTCTGCCAGCTCAGGGCCCCGGTACTACGGACAAAACGGAAGTGTCAAGAAGCTGATCATCAACAAGGACATGCGCAGCGACCTATTCTCTACACCCACCAAGGAAAAGCCTTCTACTGATCTGGTCAATGGCTCTCGCAAGCTGTCGAAGAGGGTTAGCTTCGATACTAGCACGATGGATGCCCCCGAAGTCGATGACAACGACAGTGTCATGGGATCTACCCCGAGAGGCGGAGCCGTCGCCCAAGAATCGACTCCGGCTAGTGTCAATGTCAACGGAAGCAAGCCCGCTGCTGCTTCCGCAGATGCTGATGCCAGTAAGGGTAAGGAACTCGCTATCGTCCACGAGGAGGATGCGTCCTCCCATGCACCCGAAGTCAACAAGGAGGGTCTCGATGCTGCCCCTGGTGCCTACTGGATGAGTCCGACCAAGGAAGCTCTCGCCAACATGAACAGAATGCAGCGTCAGCAAGTCACAAACTTCACTGTCGGCAGAGACAACGTCGGCAGCGTTCGCTTCAAGGTTCCTGTAGACCTTACCAACATCGATCTAGATGAGATCTACGGCGGAATCGTCATCCTCGAAACCCGGTCTGCGACTGTCTACCCCATTGCAGCCAAGAAGCCTCCTGTCGGCAAGGGGCTGAATGTTCCGGCTCTCATTTCTCTGGAGCAGTCTTGGCCACGAGGTAGAGACAAGCGTCCTAGCAACGATGCTAAACGGTTTTCCAAGCACATTGAGCGCCTGAAGCGCATCGAAGACACGACCTTTGAAAGCTACAACACCGACACTGGCGTGTGGAAATTTTCAGTTGAGCATTTCACTACTTACGGCTTGGAGTATGATGAGGATGACGACGAGCCTGAGCAGTCTGCAGTCCAGCAGCCCCACGAAGAGGTGTCTTTCAGCAACGCTTCCCAGGAAGACTCGTATGACTCGGAGTCCAGCCCACGAGAAGATGACACCTTTGACTTCCGCAGAAACAAGCGCCGCGCTCTTCCCGGTGCGTTCGACCACCGTGATGAAGACTTTGGTGACGTCGAAGCTTCCCAGCGCCAGTCTTTTTTAGGGGATAGCTTCGCGGGTTCGACGTCCAATGCGCTCATTCTGTCGACTGAAGAGGAGACAGACGATCAGGACAACGGATATGGCACGTCTGAGGATGAGGACATGGTGGGTACTCCAGTCAGACGCCATCTTGCCGCGGAGCAACCAATCGACTCGCCAGACGGCGATGGTACTGCCCCAATAAGCGAAACACCAGGAGGCATTCTTCGAGCAAGGATGCGGGCACTGAAGGGTTCAGCTACTCCAATGAAACTTCAGGTCGCCGGTGGAGACGAGTGGATGGACATGCTTCAGCGGTCCGTCAGCCCTCAAAAGAGAGATCGGGCGTTTTTGCGAAGTGTGAATGAGGCAGCATTGCGCCCTACCGCCGAGGAAGGTGAAGCAGCAAGCCAGAGAGGCCGAGTTGTGTCAGATGGGCGTGGATTCGCTACAAGCATCGATTTGATGAACTCGCTGTTTGAAAAAGCCAAGGCGCCGCCTGCGCCTCCGCCGACGAGAGGCTTCGTTCAGGTTGGTGAATACTTCATGGTCTAGGGGTTGCCAAAACTCGGCAAAACGGTTTCGGGCTCTGATTGACTATCCTGTACTTAAGATGAAGATCAATTGACTAAAATAAATTTCTTTCTAGTGGCCCTACGAGCGACAAACCAAGTCATTCGTTGACCAGTCCGACATGAGTGATGCCGACCACGCCTTTCACAATTCAATGAGGCCCAGCTGGGGACCCGACGGAACCTTGCTGTTCACATCGAGCCGCTCGTCTCTTGAGGATGCCGCCAAGCAAGACGCAACCAGCAACCTGATGATCACGAAGAATGTCATCCAAGCCGAAGGACGAGAAATCCAGGCAGCCAAGTTTTCTAACGAGGTAAGCTCGTCTGGTGACATGACATGCCATGGAGTAGAGTACAGCAGCTAATCTACATCAGGACTCCGCCAAGGCCCTCGAAAACCACATTCGCATGACCAACGTTGAGCTTACTGGGGGCGTCCCGAAGCTGTCGTTACAACCTGGCTCGCTCAAGTCTATTTTCCATGATCAAGACTCGAGCAACCCTGCGAATGCTCACGAGAAGCTTGTTTGGGATCTTGCTTGCATTCTGTTTGACGGTGAAGCCGGCCCCGAGTCTCGCAGAAGCACTCTGTCCCAATTTTGGGCATCGCTTGTCGACTCTGCGTCATCACGGTCTGTGGCTCTTGCAAAGTCCAGCGAAGAGAAGGCCATTGCAGCCTTGTCTGGTCACCGTGTCCAAGATGCCTGCAAGCACTTGCTAGACGGGAAAAACTTTCACCTTGCGACGCTGGTATCATTGATTGGTAGCAACGACCAGTCAAAGAAAGACATGCGCGAGCAACTCAGCGAGTGGCAAGATGCCAACTTCCTATCTGAGTTTGCCGACCCTGTCCGGGCGATATACGAGATTCTTAGCGGCAACGTTTGCGTGTGTGAAGGGAAGAAGGAGGTTCCCCTTCATGACCGAATCGAGTCGTTTGTCATTTCCGAACGATTCGGTCTGGACTGGAAGCAAGCATTTGGCCTTCGCCTGTGGTACTCAATCTCGCGCAAGGATGACCTTTCTGCCGCGGTCCAGGTGTTCGAGGAGGATGTGGCCCAGGATCGCGAGCAGCGCCCACAGACTTGGTATGTTGAGCAAGGCATTCCCGCACTCTGGGAAGACCAAGACCAAGACCTACGGGAGGATCTCCTATGGGGCTTGCTCAAGCTCTACGCAGACAGCGAAACCGACTTGGAGGCTGTCTTGCGGCCAGAGAACAGTCAACTATCACCATTGGACGTCCGTCTTAGCTGGCAACTCAGCCGCGCGCTCCTCTCTACCGGCAAGGTGGCTTACGGCCGCGATGCGACAGAGAAGGCTGACGCTCTGACAATTTCTTTTGCCGATCAGCTCATCAACGAGGGCAGTTGGCTGGAGGCTACCTTTGTGTTGCTGCATCTCAGCCAGGCTGACAGAAGAGCGAAGGCTGTTCAAGATAACCTTTGCCGCCACGCTGCTCTTTTGGGTCCGGAAAACGGAAGCAACTTCGCCACGCTCGCTCATACTCTGAAGGTGCCGGCCTCATGGATCTGGGATGCTCAGGCTCTTTACATGCGAGCGGTGAAGAGAGATGCTGCTTCCGAAGTGCAGTGCCTTCTGCGTGCCGGCTCATACTCTGAGGCCCACGAGGTTTTCGTGCACAAAGTCGCACCTTCTGCCGTCATCAGCCGCGACTACAATGAACTGGCCTCTATTCTATCCCACTTTGAGGACCACAAGAACGACATTGCAGGCTGGACTCTGGGTGGTGAGGTCTACAAGGCCTTCTTGGAGCTTGTGGACCGTCGCAGGCAGCGACAGCAGGTCGCCTCGTCTACTCTCGAAAGGCTGGTTGCAGGCCTTCCTGCCATGCGCGAGCATGCGGAGAGTGCCAACGTGACGAGTATGGCAGCCATCTCAGAGATGAGCTCAACTGTGGCCAAGGTTATGGTGGAGACGTCCAGACAAGATCAGGTAAGAATGCTCAAGGATCACTTTCTGTTTGCTCTATATACTAACCAATTACCTTTGCAGGATGTTCCCCGTGTGTTGGGTCTCCCCGTCACAGAGGACGGTCATCTCAAGCACTCACTGCAACTGGGTCTTTCCTACTATGAAGGATTGATGGCCGGAGCCAGATGAGGTAGACGATGTGAAAAGAAAAAAAAATGGATGCAGAGAGAGGAAAGAAGCTAAGGGTATAGAGGGAGACTGCTTTCTGGAGTTGGGCATGGCGTCACGACTGACTGCCCAAGATGGAGGGAAAGGAAAGCAATAATGTATTATGTATGTTGTAAGGCGTAGTAGCTGAATTCTGGCGTATCCAGAATCCTATATGTTTTGCCGCTTGAGGCGTTGTATTGTCGAACGCAGCCCAAAAAAAATAATTGTGTATACCAAATTGAATGACCCCCAATGAGTGTGATATGTGTGTTTTTGCCTATTGCTACAATCTGAGGTCGTGGGATGGAAAGGTCGATTGTAGGTTCATGAGCCATGTGAGTCAACCCACTTTGAAACCTAATTCACCCCAATTGGGTGGTGCTGAAGTTCCGTCTCTCACCTTCAAGTTTCAACAACACGTGCGGTTCAGTATCACAAAGTCGAAAAGTCCTCACCTTCCGCTCAGCCGGGAACCCATCTCAACCCACCTAGGTACCTCAACTAAAGCTATCACATTCGCCAAAACACTGCAACCAGCCACCGTCGACCATGTCACAACAGCCCAAAAACTGGCCCGCGGGTTTACCATACCTCTCGGCGCCAACACACTCCAAGCTCCTAACCCCAACCCAACGACAAGCCATCGCGACAAAACCGCCACCATCAGACGTCGTGCCCTCCATCTCCGCGCAAGCCACGGTGCTGCCCAGCCCTTTGGTCAAAATCACGCCCATCACGGTGGCAGGACACCCCGCGCAAGGGCAGTGCGGGTTATTTGCTACAAGGCATTTGAAGCCGGGGACGTTTGTGCTGCCGTATTTGGGGATGGTGCACCCGGGGGTGGTAGACCCGGCGGAGGCCGGGACGGAAGAGGGGGAGGGGGAGGGGGAGAAGTCGGATTACGACCTGTGGCTGGACCGGGATTCCGGGGTGGCGGTGGATGCGAATAAGGGCGGGAACGAGGCGAGGTTTGTGAATGATTATCGCGGGATCGGGGAGAGGCCGAATGCGGAGTTTCGGGAGATTTGGTGTGAGCGGTGGAGGCAGAGGTGTATGGCTGTTTGGGTGCTGCCGGAGGGGAGGAATGGACGTGGGAAAGGGGGGATCGGGAAGGGGGAGGAGATTTTGGTGAGTTATGGGAAGGGGTTTTGGGGGAGGAGGAGGGAGGAGGAGGAGGGGGTATGAGGTTTTTAGGGCTTTCGTGGCTTTTGGTTTGAGGGTTTTTGTTGTATAAATGGGATTAGCATAATATGAACATGTAGATGGCGATGGGTCACTTGTTCTTGATCTATCACTGTCCAAGTGGTTGATGTTGATGTTCGTCCCGTCCCAAATCGAGGTATACTAAGGTTAAGATGGGTCAGAGAGCATTTGCCTTACTGATCAGCATCAAGAGCTATGAGGTTCTTGCCCGATGTTACTAATTTGTTTCTGCCTGGCTTGGTGACACAACGTGCCCAAGGTCGACGACGGCTGTGTGTAAATATGCCTGGGCTGACGGCGTATTAAAGAGTACTTGCAGGTAAAACACGACGACGACTTGTTGGCTTATTAGATAAACAAGAGCAGATGCCAAGTTGTTCCCTTGAAAGCAAGGATTTCAACGACTGAGTCTCAGGGGTTTCTAGCCCATGCAGTCTGCAAGTGTCACAGCCAACTACCATGAGAGAATGTCTGCGCCTCTGCGCCTCGAAGGCAAAAGAAAATTCCACCAAATTGCATATTTAACAATCACACTACCGCAGCAACTACCAATCCCATTTCAACACTGATCTACTTGAGATAAACGTCGATGTCTCACGGCTGTGGAATAAACCTCTTCTTCACCCAGGTAGGTTCACGGTCAACCTCAATTACCATGGAGGCAAAAGATCAACTTTGAACCACGCTGCCGACCAGCTATAAAGTCCTACGGCGAAGACTTCAGAGGCAAATCCGTTGTTGTGTGGGGCATCAATATTTCACTCGTGGGCCTAGGTGGAAGACATCATCACTTCTGAGCCATGTGTGATCAATTGCTACTGCGTATGAGTCGGGCAACGAAGCTGTCTGACATCGGGATTGCACGAATCCCGTCCAAGCCTCACAGGTACGACTACCTATGAGCACTTTTCTGCCTAGGCATGGCGCCAAGCCGATGGCGGTTTACTTTGCCTTGGCCCGTATGTGTAGGATGCTCGTTGGTAGTCCTTTCAGCTTGATCTCTACGGTTTGCTTTAGAAGGATTTTGAAAATGAATAGTGTTGTGGGAAAAAAAAAAAAGGCCAGTCCGAAAGCCCATCGTACGAGATTGATCGTGTTGATACCTATCTTCCAATCCTCTCAGTGTGACCAAGCCAGCTATACGAATAGGATTCCCAACAATAGTATCCGTAGGGTAACCTATTCCGGGAAAGCATGTGCCAAGGTTCCTTGGAGATTCTTGGGGTTGAAGGTAGTGACGACGACGATAATACGGGATAGCGCACGGTGGGCAGTGTGGCCCACGCCGGGATTGGGAACCTACCTATCACTTTAGGTTGAGTGGAGAAGGCATCGCCCGAAACGCAAATCAGCGTTTGCCCGGGGAGCGTTACTGTTGGCTGCGTGGCTGCTACTTCCACGTTAATCTCCAGGCTCTAAGCGAGTTGTGGAGGCCGCACCACCCCTGTCATCCCGTAACTCAGTAACCTTACAGGCGCAGCAGACGTACGGAGTTCAGTAAACGCCTTTCCTTCCTGTCCGGGTGGCGTCCGGCGCGTTCATCCCGAGTCTGCGCAAACTTCGAAACGTACATTCTCATGTTCATCTCAGGTGCGAGGGAAAGAAGTTCTGACTCTAAAGTACTCGGGTAACTTCACTTCGTCTGACTCTGACTCTGTAGAGACAGAGAGACACAAAGTAATCCAGTCTTCTATCAGTCCTAGAGTCTACGCCCAGTCCCGACTCTCAAAGGGACCACTTTCATTTCATTACAAAGCGGCATCGCGACTTGTTTTCTTTCCCGTCGCATTGACTTTGCACCTGCCCGATTCGCTTCCTTCTTTCATGTCCAGGCACCCCGGACCTTTACCACTTTTCAACGACATCCTCAATATCGTACATATCTCATATTGCAGACCTCCTTTCCTTCTACCAGCCGACTCCTTCGCCTCCACCGTCGACCTGGGTGTCCTCCCTAAGCACCGATTGCGGACGACACTGGCAGACAACGGAAAGTAGACCACGGCCATCGGCCGACGCTCGCCAAACATGGCGTTCCTACGCCAGACTTGGACACTCACATTGAAGAACTGGAAAATCATCTTCCGCCACGCCATCTCCGCCATCTTCATCGCCTTCATTCTTCCCATAGCTCTGACGACCTTCTTCAGCTTTGCAAAGAACCTCTTCGTCCCCCCGGCCGTCTATGGCGTTTCTGATCCGAGGCACATTCGCACTCTCCCCAACGCTCTCGATGCTGCCGCCAGCGCTGGGAGGCACAAGCTCGTTTTTGTGAATAGCGGCTTTTCTGGAGGTGACATTGACAAGGTCATCGATAGACTCGCCACCTCTGTCGAAAGCGCTGGCAAAACTGCTCTCCGCCGCTCGTCCACGACTGATCTTGCGCTCGATTGTCCTACCAACCTCCGCGGTGTATCCAACTGCTACGGAGCCGTTGTCTTCCAGGCCTCACCTTCAGAAGGACCCGGAGACTACTGGAACTACACTCTTCGCAGCGACGGCGCCCTGCGGAGCATTGTCATTGACGTGGACTCGGACAAGAACGATGCCCAGATCTACCTGTTGCCACTGCAGAGAGCTGTTGATGAGGCAATTGCTTCCGTCCAGGCCGCTTCGGGTTCCGGCTCTAGTTCTGTTCAGCAGGGCCCCCTCCCCGGCACCGTCGACGAATATCCCTTTACCAGCCTGACGCAGGAAGAGCGTGCCGTCCGCGTCAGGATCAACTATCAAAGCGCCATCACCAACTGGATGGGCGTTGCCTTTATGACCAGTGTTCTCTTCATCACCTATCACCTCACTGGCTTCATTGCTACTGAGCGCGAGAGTGGCATGATCCGTCTCGTCGATGCTATGATGCCCGTCAAACACAGATGGTTCTCCCAGGCTGCCCGAATCATCTCCTACCACGCCGCATTCACCGTTGTCTACCTTCCGGGCTGGATTATAGGATCCTTGGTGCTACGTGCCGGCGTCTTTGCTCGTACCAACGTTGGGATCGTGCTTGTATATCATGTCCTGAACGGCATAGCCATGGCCTCCCTGTCTATTCTGGCATCTTCACTCTTCAAGAAGGCTCAGATCAGTGGCATTGCGGCCGTACTTGCCATAATCCTTCTGGGAATCCTCGCACAATCCATCTCCTACCCCAGCACTGCTGCCGTTGGTGTTCTCGCCTTTCTCTTCACGCCGTGCAACTACGTGTACTTCATTACTTGGATGGCACGTTGGGAGCGAGAAGACCTCCCCGCCGACCTGTCCAAGGTCGCTCCCAAGAGCCCGTGGGATATTTCCGGCATCATTCTCTGGGTGTTCTTGATTATCCAGATTTTTGTGTACCCTCTCCTTGGCGCTGTCATCGAGTCTTCCTTGCACGGCACCACTACCAAGGGCAGAACAATTGTGTTTAGCCCAACTCAAAATCAGTCCAACGTTGACGAGCCGGCTGTGCGCTTGCAAGGCTTCACCAAGGTCTACAGCCCTTCTCCGATTCGAAGTCTATTTTCCTTCATTTCACGCCCACGCGAATCCGTCCGCGCAGTCGACGGCCTTACATTGGATGTTCGGAGAGGACAAATCCTGTGCTTGCTTGGTGCGAACGGTAGCGGAAAGTCCACAACGTTGGACTCTATTGCTGGCACAAGCAAGCTCACTGGCGGTACCATCACCATCGACGGTACTGGTGGACTAGGAATTGCTCCGCAGAAGAATGTCATGTGGGATGACCTAACGGTGGAGCAGCACATTGAGATATTCAACAGGCTCAAGTCTCCTGGGAAACGTGCAAGCAAGCAGGAAATTCAAGACCTCATCAAGTCTATTGATCTGGAGACGAAAGCGAAAGCTATGTCGAAGTCTCTTTCAGGCGGCCAAAAACGCAAGTTGCAATTGGGTATGATGCTCACTGGAGGAAGCGCGGTTTGCTGCGTCGACGAGGTCTCGAGTGGTATCGACCCTCTGTCACGGCGGAAGATCTGGGATATCCTACTAGCCGAGCGCGGAAGACGGACGATCATCCTTACGACACACTTTCTCGACGAGGCCGATCTTCTAGCCGACCATATCGCTATTCTTTCAAAAGGCACGCTGCGCGCCGACGGCTCTTCGGTTGAGTTGAAAGATCGCCTGGGCGGCGGTTACCGAGTCCACGTAACCAAGGAGACAGGTATGGGAAATACACCCGACGTCGAAGGAGTTCAGAAGAAGATACACTTCGATCTGATTAGCTACATTGCCCCATCTTCGTCGCTTGCCGCGCAGGTGATTCGCACTTTGGAAGCCAACGGCTTCCACGACTACCGTTTCTCTGGACCAACCATCGAGGACGTCTTTCTTCAATTGGCGGAAGAAATCCGTGATTCCAAGGCGAGCGAGTTTATTCCCGACTCAGGTTCAGACCTGAATGAGAAGGGGGTAGCTGGCGACGTCGGCGATACTCCTCAAGCTGGACTTCAACTCCTAAGCGGTCAGCAAATTGGATACATGCGGCAGGCTGCTATTCTTTTCCGGAAACGAACTACAGTCCTCAAGACAAATTGGATTCCCTACCTTGCAGCGCTGATCTTACCGGTAGCAGCCGCTGGTCTTGTCACCCTGTTTATCAAAGGCCAAACACAAAGCGGCTGCGCTCCATCGGAAGAGCGCTCGCTTGATCAGACGCAAGGCTTCAGTCTGACAGATTTTACGTGGAAACTAGTCCTTGGACCAAACTCACGATTTGACCTCAACACTGCCGCCAGCGTTCTCCTGCCAGTATTCAACGCTGCTGCCGGTAGCTCTGGCAATGGTTCAACCTCTGGGACCGGAACCGACTTCGCGAGGCAACTGCTGGCAGAGAACGCCACTTTTACGGACAGCTTTAAAGCTTTCCAGGATACTATCGTGGCACGACGAGTCGAGACTGTTCCTGGCGGCATCTGGCTAGGAGATGACTCCACGGTGCCCACCATCGCATACATGTCGAACTACAACGGTTTACTGAATCCTATTTTGAGTCAGAACCTCTTAAATATGCTCCTCAGCAACGTCACGGTCATGATGGCATGGGCGCCCTTCGCTACACCTTGGCAGCCCAACGATGGCAATTCGCTACAATTCCTTGTATACACCGGAATCGCACTTGCATGCTACCCCGGATTCTTCGCCTTGTACCCGAGTCTGGAGCGTCGACGCCAGGTTCGTGCCTTGCAGTACAGCAATGGAGTCCGAGTTTTACCCTTGTGGGCGGCTTACTTGGCTTTTGACTTCATCATCGTTCTCGCGTCAACGACTTTGGTAACCATCATCTGGGCTGTTTCGTCCGGCATCTGGTACCACATCGGATACATCTTTCTCGTCTTCATGCTCTACGGGTTGACTGCAATTCTACTGGCCTACGTCATATCTCTCTGGTGCAAGACGCAACTGTCAACTTATGCCTGGGTAGCTGCTGGGCAGGCGGTTTTGTTCTTGGTCTACTTGATAGCCTACATGTGCACCATCACCTATTCCCCAGTTCCCAAAGTCGACCAGAACATTCTCGTTGCTCACTTCGTCATCTCGGCTTTTGCACCTATTGGTTCTGTTGTCCGGGCTATGTTCCTGGTCCTGAACTTATTCTCAACAGCCTGCGATGGACGACAACTAGCGGCGTATCCCGGTGGCATTCTTCAATATGGCGGGCCAATCTTGTACTTGGTCCTGCAGTCCATCCTTCTGTTCGCACTTCTGCTGTGGGCTGATAGCGGCTCCGTTGGCTCTTCGGTCCGGCGACTTTGGCAGCGAAAGTATGACGGACCATCGGATGATGATAGCGTCGCAGACGAGGAAGTCACAAACGAACTGAAAAGAGTGACTACGACATCGGGCAGCGACGACGGCCTCCGGGTGATTCATCTGACCAAGACTTTTGGCAAGAATACAGCGGTCGATAACGTAACGTTTGGACTCAAGCGCTCTCAGGTTTTTGCCCTTTTGGGGCCAAACGGCGCTGGCAAGTCAACTACCATCTCACTTATTCGCGGAGACCTCAAGCCAAGTCGTAACGGTGGTGAGATCCTCGTCGAAGATCAGTCCGTTATTCACAACTTGCCTGCTGCTCGATCTCACCTCGGTGTTTGCCCTCAGCACGATGCGTTGGATCTCATGACTGTCCGTGAGCACCTCGAGTTTTACGCCCGCATCCGAGGCGTCCCCGATATTCACCACAATGTCAATACCGTCATCCACGCCGTTGGTCTTCAGGCATTCTCAAATCGAATGGCAGCGGCCCTGAGTGGCGGGAATGCCCGCAAGTTGAGTCTTGGTATCGCACTGATGGGATCTCCCAGCGTGATCTTGCTCGACGAGCCATCCTCTGGTCTGGACGCCGCCGCCAAGCGAATTATGTGGAAGACTTTGGCAGCCATCGTTCCGGGCAGGTCCCTGCTCCTCACTACGCATAGTATGGAGGAGGCCGATGCTCTCGCAGACCGCGCGGGAATTCTAGCTAAGCGAATGCTTGCTTTGGGCACGACAGATGATCTCCGTCATCGGTTTGGCGACGCACTTCACGTCCACCTCATTAGCAAAACGGCACCACACACAACGCCGGAGGAGACTGCACAGCTTCGTGATTGGGTGACATCTACATTCCCGGGGGCTGATGTAGAGGAAAAGACGTATCATGGTCAGATGCGCTTCTCCGTTCCCGGCAAACAGGTTCTTGAAGTGTTTGGCGGCGATAAAGTCGGAGACATCACCCCGGCAGATACTCACTCGTCGAGTGCGGTTGGTCAGCTGGCTGTCATGCTGGAGGAACAGAAAGGGGCGCTGGGTATCAACCATTTCAGTGTTTCGCCGACCACCTTGGACCAGGTGTTTTTGAATATTGTCGGTAAGAACAATGTCCAAGAGGAGGGCTACAAAGAGCCCGAGAAGAAGCCATGGTGGCGGTTTGGGCGATGAGAATAGCCGCCAGCATGTGCCGTCGTCACTTACTGCGGCTTTGAGATACCCCCCAATCATACACGGTGCCGTTTAAAAGCAGACATTTTAGACATAATACATCATTATATAATCATTATTCGGACGCAAGATGACACTAGCGCCATTAAAATACCTCCGCAGCGGTTGCCCGTCGTGTTTCTGTAAGCAGGTCCCAATCCACATCGAAGTACCAAACAAACCGAATTCTCTAAATGTGGCCGCCAATCTCGGGTGACGACGCCTGCATCTCCCGTAGACTGTCGAGCTTATTTTCTGTCGCCGCCAGAAATGGGGCACTGGCCAAAGATCTGATTAGATTTCCCCAGAGATATTACCCATCCAGTATCCATCCATACGATGAGCTGAAGCAGACACCCTAGTCTTGGGCCTCGTCCTGACACCTCAACATCTCAAAAGTCCCCTTCCACCTTCCCCCTTTTCAAAAGGGCGTTCCATCTCTCCGAACGGGATACGACGTTGTGGAAGTAGAAGCAGTCCATGCCGGCCTAGGACTCAAGGGACTAAAGTTGGACTTTACAGGCGTGATGGAATCTCCGCGCACACTAGCCAGTCCGAAAATTGTATCGCTCGACTCGTTGGCGTGGTGGCCCATGTGATGCTGGTACGGCGACGAGCCGCCGTAGGTGACGGAGGATCCTCCATCGTCCTTGTTGTTGAGATGACTCGATCGGGCGCTGGAGACGCCCGAGGCCGTGGTGCTTCCTCCCTTTTCTGCGTCGCCTCGGGGGAAACTCTTGGGCAGGTTCGAGTAGGGGCGGGTCGCTGCCGCGTGCGTGCCCGGCCGCGTGTCGGTTTGGTTGCTGTGGAGGGAGGTGATGTTGACTCTGCTCATGAGGCCGGGGAACATTTTTGTCAGGAGGGGCCGGAGGGTCGGAAGGCAGGCGCAGGTTACGGCGGATGAGATTTCGCCTATGGACCAGAGGGAGGCGTCTACGTTTGTCCAGGTGAAGTCTGCTGGGGTGCTGAGGTATTGGATGCGGACGATGGAGATGGCGACGGTGCTAGACTGGGCGTTAACCATTTTCCATGCCACGAGATAAGAATCAATGCTCGACAACTCACAAGAACCCAAGACTAAAGATACCCATAAGAAGCGCCTTTTGTTTTCTCGGCAGACTAAGATGCCAGAAAATCGGCAGCGGCAGCGCAAAGACGGCGACGTCGGTGATGATGTTGCCCGCCGCATTGACGTACCACTGCGGCTGGTTGGGGATGCAGTGCGATACCACGGACTTGTCCCAGAACCCCTCGACGGGGAGGCATTGGAAGGCGGCGATGAAGACTTGGGAGGTTGACCAGGCGCCGACGACGAGCAGGGCGAGGGCGTAGATTCTGCGCATGCGGGGGACGGCCATGATGCGGTAGTATTGGCAGAGGAAGGAGAGTTTGATGGCGAGGAGGGCGATGTTGTAGAAGACTATGGAGATGTAGAACATCTTATGGGTTGTGAGTGTTAGTTCGAAGAGGGTGATGAGGTGGGAGCGAGGCTACTTACGTGCATGTATTCTACTATATCCGCTGGCTTGAGGACGACAATGTGTCTACCAAGACCATAATTGGTCACTTTCAACAGTTGTCAGCTCATCTTTCTCACTTTATAACGGCATGGAAATATGACTTACTGAGAGCGATGGCGATGCCGCAACCTGTTGTTGCCAACTAATAACGAGATCTAGAGTTAGCATCTCAATATTGAAACAGGCACGATCGCTGTCACTTACCAGAGCCACAACAGCGAGTATGTCATCGATACCAAAGAGCACGATAACCCTTGTTCTCGTATAGATCCTCAACCCAACCATTGCTGTCACAAAGAGGATGCAGAAGACCACAGATGCGACCACCGTGGTCCTCCGATCATCTTGATACACTTCTGGCGGGATTGTTGTGTCCATGGTTGCGTCAATAGGAGGAGAATAGCCAATAGTGAACCAGACCAGATTTCCCGCTGAGATTGTTTAACTGGACTGACGGGCACTGCCCGTGTAGGATCGTAGACAGATGAAAAATAGAGGAGGATGAAAGCAACGGCGAGTGAACAGGATGATGTGGTCGGAGATTGTCCACAAGTTTGTCGGGGATACACGAGAGATATGAGTAAAGGAACGGGACAACGCAAACGAACTAGTACAAGGCGCTCTGGGGAGGGAGCGGAGGGTTCACGAAATAAGACGACACGAACGGGCAGATACCCAGACTTTTTCCAAACAGCGTTTGCGCGAGGTAATTGCCTTTGGGTCTAAGCTGCCCACCACCATCCCAGGCCAGTGACCGCTGCCCATCGTAATCGAGTCATTCAATCTTCTACGCAAGTACACAGCATCCCCTCCTCTCAGGCTCTCTCACATGGAGGACCTGTAACGCCGAGTAATTGATCCTGGGGAGGTGGCAGACTATCCGTACATAGAACGTGTGTGTGCGTGTGCGGCCGGATTCGCAGCCGCGCTACTCCAGCATGGAAGAAACGGAGGCGGAAACAGGTTGACGGGGTTTTCCCTTCCCCGGAGGTCAACTCAACCCACCCACATCGCGTGAGGCTCCACATGTAGAGTTGCAAACCTACGACATAGTGAAGAGATGCCAGGAGCTGTCCTGACTCTTTCTCTTCAGTTCCTTGCCAGAGTCTTGTAGCATCGGGGGCGAGAAAGAGGGGTTCGCTGATGGTTCATACAGGCTTCCAAAAAAAACAGGCTTATCCGAACCAAAGGTTCTAGTTCATGAGTAGGAGATATATCCATGTCCACAACTCCTTTGATCACTAAACTCGACCAGTATGAACACACGAGATAGGTATTGTGGTAGAAGGAGCGAGGGAGCGGGGTTTGTACGCTTAATACACTTCCCGAGGGATGACCAGAGTTTAAATGGCGAGAACCAACGAAAGGCGAAGGGCATATAGACCAGACTGCCATATATAGCACCAAAGTTATCTCGGGAAGAGTAGAGAAGACGAGGCTCAGTCATGGGTACAAAGATCGGATGTCATCAGAGTTTTTTTGCCTTTCCTTCCCATCCCTTCCCATCGCTTGTCTGTCCTCTTGTGTGAAGCGGCTCTTCTAGATCACCTGCTGGCCCTTGCCACGACACACAGACATAAATGAACCAAAGTAAGAATTGCGGCCAGCATGAAGCCACGGGGCGGGGGGGGGTGGCCACGGGGTGTACTTTGTCGAAGAAGAACAAGAAGAGGGAACAGAAAGACAAACCTGCACGGGCAGTCGAGGGCTTTGCGATGACAGCGGGGGGACCTTGCTCGATGACTCCGGACGCAAGGTTGCGACATTGAATCATGGTGCGATTTGGCAGAGACCCCAACCGGGTAGCAGTTGTTCCACTGCGCTCAGTCCTCTCCATCTCTCTCTCTTGCCATCCATCATCCCACCATCTCGGATGGAAACAGTCGGCTCTAGGACGGTCATCTCTGTAGAGTTCTTACCTTGAATGTCTTGTTTTTTTCTTTCTCGAAATCTTGTCTTGATCCCATCCTGTCGAACTCTTTTTCGTCATCCCCGCTCCCGCGAAGAACGGCACTTGATTCTCCCGGGCAACTTGTCAACATGATCGGTCACAAGATTACCAGACGAAAAGAGTCTAACATCGTTTTTAACCAAGCTGACCTCGCGAGTAAACAGAAAACAACGAGATTTATAAGCGATTGAGGCTTGCTATATCAGCTTCTCTCACCCGTTCGAAACTCAATCTTGCTCCACCCTTTTCCCCCTACCAATACACCCTTCCATCGACTTAATATGCTTGACACGTGCGAGGACTGTACTCCGTAGAAAGGTCATGCTTTCAAACCTCTGGAGATGCGAAAAAGCGAACCCAGACTCCTCCTTTGCGGGAGCGGGCCACCTCGGAAGCTACTGCAACGCATATATTCAAGTCATGCAACCCCAGCACGGCCCGCATGCCAATGTTTCTCATTTTTTCCAAGATTTTACTTGCTCTCGAGTCTCTCTTTTCACCTTTTATTCTGCCAGATATAGATCAAGAAGCAAAATGAGTAAAAACAAGGACGATGAGTCGAGTAAGTCACCTGAATGCACACCTCCCGTCATTGTGAAGCGCACGTAAGTTCATCCAACGAATACGCATTTATAGACGCGCATAGTATGAGCACAAAAGACGGACCGGAAGAAGAAGCACGAGTCGCACCCATGCCAGCCTCTGATGCGTCTCTCCCCTGCCCAGCTGCCGTACCCGAGTCCGGATCCTTGGCCCCGTCGTGGGGCCGGTGGTCTACGATTGACTGCTCTGTCGCATCTAGTCTTGTCTCGTCCTGTCTCGACGTATGTCTGTGCAAAACAATGTCGCTGGTCGTCCGCTCCGTCGTGACTTTGCAGTTCGTCCCCAGCAAGGCGGCAACGCAAAAACCTCACCCTTGAACCAATACACTTGACCAGGGACGAAGAAGACATAGGAAGCGCCTGACCTGGAATGAATGAATAGCTGTTCTTCTCGCCTAATAACCTACCATCTCACAGACTATATAGCATAACCTTCCGCCGCCTCCACCACAGATACATACTATTCCAGACACCTTTGAGGTTGTGGTTGAGCAGAAAGACTTGACTCAAGTCATCCCCTCCTCTCCCCCTCGTGAGCATGAGAAGGATCATCGCTTCCTGAAGCCGGGTAAAAATCTGATACATGTGACGAAAATCTGAACAAACCCTCAACGTGCCAAGTTAGTTTGAATGGCAACGCAGCATGCAAATCAAACTTTGTCGAAATACTGAAAGACCCTCGAAGAACACCCTTAGAACATCAATCTGAATCTGATTTGATGTCACGGGATCATATGTGCAACAATATTATCCTCCCCATACGCTGGGCAGATTTAAATCCCTAGACTAAATATGTCCAAGGGTCTGCAATACCTCTCTGTTGATCAGTCACCGTGTCATCGCCCGTCGCGACAGACGATCGCCTACCACGTGCCAGTGTTGCGTTATCGACGGTGCTTCCGTAGTAGTCTTGTATACAACAGCGCGCTTCATGAAGCGCGCTCCAGTTCTGCCGCCGCCGAGGAGTTGTCTCGCGTCTCGATTACAAGTTCAATAGATGAATCGAAACTTGCAGAGTATCTTTGTCACTCTTAATGCTTCGACAACCCCTGCTAACACCACCATCCTCCAAGGCCGAAATCATGCTGGTCGGGACCGTCAGATGGTAATTCCTACTAAACACTGAAGTATGCCTCCCAAGTGAGACTTGTAAATGGTATGCTTTGATGAACACCGTGATATGTCATGTACACTGCGCAAAAACTCGAAAACGCCGCCCAGTGCTGAGTCTTCTAAGACTTTCAGTCCCTCCTGGGCTCCCATCCACATGCAATCCGTATGCTTTTGCCGTGGTATCATTGCCGTTTTCCCCTGAAATCTATTTTCATCATATTTCAACAAGCTTGTGTGCTGTTTTGAGCCCGTCCCTTTGAGTGACCCATGAACTAACTCCATATTCGCCAAGAGACATTATGGCCATGTCGCTGATGTCGTCTTTGACATCATCCTTCCTCGCTGCTCGGCTGAATGCCAGCTTTGCACACCTTCTCAGACAGCAGCATCCACCAAGGTCTTGCTGTTATACAGATGGCAGTTGTCGATATTACCACCGATGTCCGTTTGTAATGTCTTCCGTGGGAAATCAAAAGAAAAGCCATTGAACGGCATAGCCTCGAGACTACGCGTTCGCCGGTGTTGACTGCTGGTCTCGGCTGCTGGCTCGGTTGTTGTACTAAGTGCTGACGAGTTTGCTGGCACCGTCCATCTTTGGCGACGAATCGTTTGTTGCCTCCGTTGGGGTTTCCGCAGACGTGTCCATGCTTACAGGCGCTGGAGATACTGTAGGTGTTGGCACGTCATCGTCCTTTCCCTCCTCGGTGTCTCGAGTGTTGAACCAGCCGCCCTTTTCCCATTGCCCAGGTGCATATAAACATGATGCGCGCACTTCGTCATCCACGATTCCCAAGAGCAATGTGTTGAGTCGCTTGAAATCGATGGGCTTAAGGATCCACCCGTCGAATCCGGCATCGATATATTTGTCCTTCTCTCGTTCAATGAGAGATGCAGACACTGCAAATACTGGGATACGGCCGTTGCGACTTGCAATCGCCGAGCGTCCACCATGGTCGCTGGACTTTTCGTGGGCTCGTATCATTTTTGTACTTGTCAAGCCATCCACAATTGGCATCTATAGAGTTGAGACGTTAGTCGGCATCACACAAGTTTCTAGCGATTAGCATAATATACCTGCATGTCCATCAACACAATATCAAAGGTTTCGGGCCTCTCCTTGTAGACAGTAGCGCAGTCTTCGCCGTTGACAGCATGGGTCACTTGGTGGCCAGACTTCTCTAAGCGCTTGCGTAAAATTCTCGAATTGATAGGGTCGTCTTCCGCAATCAAAACTTGCAGCTTCGTCTCGTCGAACACCGAAACGACGCTTGGTGCGGTGCCGGTGGTGCTACCGAATGTGCCAGTCTCCGACGTACCCCCGAACTTTGAGCTGCTGTTGACTTCAAATAGAAATCGTGAGGAGTCGCGTTGCATTGATGGCTGATCAGTATACTCATCCGACACCTTCACAGCTCTGACGGGTGTTTTCGCGTCTGTAACTGTCGCATAACCAACCTCTGGAAGCTTCGGGGCTTCGACGCTTGAGACGCTGGGATTGCTTCGAAGCGAGGTAGGGGATGCCATACGCCTCGCGGCCGAGGTATTGTGGCTCTCCGAAGACCTCGGTCTGTGTGAATACTCCCAAGAATGCTGCCGCATCGTTGTTGGTTGGTTGGAGTCACCTTCGCCGATGGAAAGTGGCATCTGGATCGCGTCGATCAAGCGATCCGCGTCACTTCGCGAGCTTCGGCCACTGGCTTTGCTTCCACCCGTGCCCGCCGTCCCTGTCGTCTTCTGGCTCTCAAGGCTTTGCGTCTCAGCACCTGTAGCACCCGTCCCGCCTTCCTCAAGCACCGGTAACTTGCTGCCGCGATCGATGAGCATCATTTCGCCGTCGTTATCTGGTACGGCGGTTGTAACAGAAGCCACACTTGAAGTAGCGCCCGACTTCGCAGACTTCTGACCGCCATCTGGGGGTGCAGCAGGCACATCGCCAGGCAGCTCAAACGGCAGCTGAATCACGAACCTAGACCCGACCCCCTGTTCTGATTTTAGCCGCAGCTGGCCGTCCATGTTGCGGACGACTCTAGCAACGACAGCTAAGCCTAGACCCAGTATCCTAGTGTCACTTCTCGCCTTATCATCATCTGGGAATAGAACGCTGACTTCGTCTGTCTCGGCGCTCACTTGCTCAAGATCCCTGAAAAGTGTGTCGAGCTGCTTAGCCGTCATTCCCTTGCCTGTGTCCTCGACAACAATCTCGACGCGTACCCGTCGTTCAAGTACCTCGCTGACGTATAGTTCGACTCTGACGAACCCGCTGCTTGTATTTTGCACTGCGTTGGCCGCAACGTTCGAGATGGCTTGTCTGAGGCGTCGACTGTCACCGCAAACCTGCTGTGGTAATCCGGGATGTTCAATGACCTGATACTCGATGCCCTTTCTCTTGGCGTCGTTGGTAAAAGGATCGGTTGCTTCTCTGATGCACATGCCGAAATCAAACACCTCGTCTTTGATCAAATTCTGACCCTCCTCGGTTTTCGTCAAGTCAAGTAGGTCGTTGATCACGTAGATGAGCGACTTTGAAGCGGAATGTGACTTAGCGAGGTTATCGCGCGTCTCTTGGTCGAGGGTGCCCTCCAACGCAATTTCCAGATAATTGATTATAGCATTGAGCGGCGTCCGAACCTCGTGGGCTGAGTTCGCCAGCAAGAGGCGTGTAAGACGGCTGCTTTGCAAGGCAGCCTCCTTCTGTCTCCATACTTCAATAAATTTGCCGTAGACCAAGCAAAGAACGGCGGCTGTCTCGACCTGTTCCTCCGACCATTCTCTGCATTTGCTGAGGATAGTCTCGTGCCAAGTCTTGAAACTTTTTCTTGGTTCGAGGTAGGCCTGAGTGCCCTCGCGAAGGGTCTTTTCGTACGGGTTTCCGGCCCATTTGACCTCCTTGACTTGGCCTCTGCGAAAGAAGACAATGAAGTCGTTTCCTCCAACACTCAGCGGAACATACAGCAAGCCTGCGATAACAGTGAATCCAAGAGGGTATCGTAGGTCTGGGAAGTCCTCTTTGATATCCTGAGAGGTGACCACTGACGTGAGCTCCCGCAAGCGTAAGTACTCCAGCATGGCCAATGCTTCTTGCGAATGCTCAATATCGCCCAAAATCTTCGTTTCTCCTCGTATGGAGAGCATACCAAAGTCAGCATCAAAGAGTTTCAAGAGATCGTCGGACGAAGCAATGATGTAACCTGAGGGATTGGTCTCTGATGGTGCCGTATTGATGAGCTTCCTGGCCTGGAGTCGACTAGCGTATGATAATCTCTCAATGTTGCGAGACGCAGTGTCTCCCACGAGGCGACACATCTTTCTGATGGGGAAGGAGACACGCATGCCCTTCCGGCCGTATGAGTGGCAAGCAATGAGGCCCCAAAGTTCGTTGAAGGCATTGATGGATACCGACATTGAGGATCGGACAGCCATGTTCTTCAGGTACTTGATGTGAATGGGTGACATGGCACGCAGGTAAGAATGGCTGAGGTCTAGTGGTACCTCGAGGTCTTCTTTCGCCCTGCAGACCAGACGGGCAGTTTCCAGGTCCCTGTCGTATAGGAGCCTCACCTTATTCAGCTTATACAATTCGCGAGCCTGTCGCGGTATGTCGGAGGCGGGGAAGTGCAAGCCCTTGTATAAATCTTTGGTGTGCGAGGGGTCGACGAGTTCCGTAACCACCTTTCCGTTGAAGGAGGAATCAAACTGGTATATCATGACCCGGTGAAAGCCGGTCAATTCCTTGACGATACCCACAAGAATTTTGAGGAAACCTTCAAGGTTTACGGCCGCGGCAAGCTGCTCCTGAACCTGGGACATGATGTCGAATACCTGCATGGCACCAGCATCGCCTCGGCGCTTGCGTGCGCTTCGCAACACCCTCAACGGCTTGCTCAGAATTTCAGTACTCTCTGCCAACTCTTCCGATGTGGGATTTGACTGCAAGGTGTCCTCAGGGGTCATCGGTGTGGCCTCTTCCGGTGGTCGCAATGGGAATTGATGATCATCATCGACTTCGAATTCGCAGATGACGAGTTCAGGATGCGCGGGGTTAATGTGAACCGCGCACCACAGCTTGACGCTCTTCTTTTTCGGAGGGCGGATGGCCAGACTGAAGACTTCGGGTCCATTAACGGCTGGATCTGCGTCTTCGTCGCGAATGAAGTCGATGTGGTCTAGTAAGTTATCTTGCTGCTCCTCGCTCAATATGTCCAAGAAACTTTTGAGTCGAAAAAGCTGCCGTGGAGAGTATCCAATCAATGTCTCGGTGTTCTCGCTGGCGTAGCGAACAGAAAATTGACCGTGGCTTTCTTCGCGGATGGCCACTAACGCGCCGAATCCTTGCACGGCTCCGGGGGTATGGATAGGCTCATCTTCGCAACATTGTAGGACATTGTCGGTGCCTGTGATGACATGATGGCCCTCGTCCGTCATGACGTACTTGAAGCGCGTTGTTAGGATACTGTCGTTGGCTGTGTCTTCATGAGCACTGGTTGATGATGTCTGGTTTTGCGAATGGTCGTCGCCAGGTACGGAATCCTCCTCTACGTCCGACGTAACATCATGAAATATGTCCAGTGGCTGTGAGGTGTTGTGACGTGCAGCATCGGCTTGGACGCTGGACATGGGACCAGACCCGACATTCTTCCTCCTCGCTTGGACTCCTTGACGATCGCCAGGCGAAGTTACGTTGGACAACGGTGTGGACGTAGATTCGCGACGAGAAACAGCTTCGAAGGCGGCGGTATCGATTCGAGGATTGCTCGGACGGGGGGCTTGGTATTGGCCATGATCGGGGGCTCTAGGGAAATAGTCATGCTCGCCAGAGGTCCTGCCGGTGCGGTCTACACGCACGACGGAGCGGATCGGATAAACGCGATCTGAAGGATCGGGACTCGCATTGTGGCCGAGTTGACGATCAGAACTGGCACTCCATGAAGAAGAACAGCTGAAGGGAGCGTTGACGGAGACGGGAGTAGGAGCTGCGGATGATTCTGGCATGTGCGGCGTGACGGTATCGGAACGGACGCTGGGGATGGGAGTCGCCTCCGAAGAGGAATCTGTCGTGGAGGAGCGGTTGGCGAAGGAAACGGAGGGCCGCCGTGCGTCGGACGGGGCGTCCATGTCCTCGGTTGAAACTGGTAAGAGACCTAAAAGTCTATCAACTCCGACGCAGTTATATGAACGAGGCCTCGCCGGAAGAGGCTCCAAGGTCCGTAATCAGTGATACTTGGCATGGAGCGAAGGCGCGCAGAATAACGGGGTCAACCAGCTGGTAGGGAGCGAGGATGCAGGAATACGTGAGAACCTCAAAGGAGGAAGAGGCGAATGAGGGGGAGGGAAAGGCGAAGAAGGCAAAATGTGGCGCAAACGTTGGTGAGGAAGAATTAGAACAAAACTCCAAGGGTTCGAGAAGAGCGCAGAGGCTCGCCGTGATCTAGAATTTCCCTTGTATGCGTGCTCTCCCCCCTGGCTGCAGTGCGGTGCGTAAAACTTGCCTACTCGATCATTCGGTCGTCGAAGAGGGGCGTGCGGGATGGGGATGTCGGGCTGGGATGCAATTGTGCGCGGACGGGTCGAGATTTGGTGGCAGTGGGCCGGGGTTGGGAAATGGGAAAATCGAAAGCTGGGGGCGCAGGGCGAGCTCGTGGTAAGGTGAGGTGGGTAGAGCTACCTTGGCCAGACCGTGCAAGAGTTAAGGTAGCTGAGGTATCCGAAGGTCGTTGGGGTTCCAGAGAAGAGCCTCGCCTGCTCGGTGTCGTGTGGTTTGTGCAAAGAGCGACAACAAGTGAAGAGAAGGGAGTCTAGAGGTAGGCACTCCAGCCTCGGAATTCCTCAATTCTCAAGTCTACGTCCGTGGTGGTGTGGTGTGTGTACCGGGTTGGATCGATCGATGAAGGAAAGGCAAGGTGAGGGATGTGTGTGTGTAGGACTGTAGGCAGGCAGGCGAGTGGCAGAGCAAGCCATAAACTCGTGGCTGAGATGGAGCGGGACGGGAGAGGGTGGCCAAAGCAGCACGGTTGCAGGAAGCGCTATTTTGATGCATTATTTCCAGTATAATGCGATGACCTTATTCACATGATTGGGGCTCATGGGGTGTAGATGGTAGGTAGCAGAAAAGGTCCTTGGACCAGAGCTGGATCTGCTGGAGAGGCGTTGCGATGCAATGCGATCAGTGGAAAGCGGTATGGTGAGGTAAGGTATGCTGTGGAAAGTCCAGTCGAGTTGGAAAACGAGGCAAAGACCAGCAAGAGTCGAGGCCGGTGAGTATCAGTGGCTGATGGAACATGCAGCGTGTGAACACAGGTGACAGGCAGGTACGAACAGAGTGGTAAAGTGGTAGACAGTCAGTGACGGGAAATCGTGCAAGCCCCAATCCGAGGGTGGCAAATGAAGAATTATCACCGTACAGGGAAGGGGAAGGCGAAAAGAAGAGCGGCAAATGGGCAGGGTTGGTAGCTGAGATATCTACTCCGTAAAGAGGGACCGATATTCGTAAGGTACGGACGCAAGGACAGCTATTTTGGCTAACGGTCAGGTACATCAAGGGTGATGGAACAAGTATTTGCTCCAAATGCGTGTTTACACCCAGATACCTACGCCCGTTTTAGTGTAAAGTGCCTGAGTACCTACGAGCAGAGACAAGGCAAGGGAGGAAAATCTATCTCATATGCTTACAAACATCAATAACGATACATTGACCTTCAGGCGCAAATCGAAGAGGCAGGCGCAAATGTAGAGTGCAAAGCCAGTGTCGAGACAAATGCATCTCGATGGGACAGGGCAAGCCTCGGAGCAGATGCGCTATCCGTCCACCAAAACAGTAATGACGCAGACAACACAGACAGCGCACCTCAGTTGCGCAGGCACGCCGCACACAGGAGAGCAGCAAAGTGCAGGCGGGGAGACGGGGAGGAGCACTGAAATGGGAAGACGAGATGACAACAAAAACAGGAATGAGATGCGGCGTGGCCCGGTCCAGTCAACCCAATCCGATCCAGTTGCCAGTCCTCACGGTCAAAACCCAGTCCTAGTTGTTCCCGGCCCAGTCCAGTCCAGTCCAGTCGAAACCACGATCCACAATCCAGTCACCCAGTCATGGAGCGGTCAATTTGGGAGGCCAGCACGCCAGTCATGCTTTGCAGTGTGTACAAGACAGCAAAAGTACATTCAAGCAGCAAGAAGCAGCAAGCAGCAGTACCTAGCACGCCTTGGTAGCATTCAGCAGCAACAGCAGCATGTTGAGATACAAAGTCGGGATGAGAGCGAGACCATGAAAATCATGGATCCAGGATGGGCCGTCTAGCCCTGTTTAGTGCGCCGATCATCAGTCAAGTGGCTCCTCGTGGGACATGTTGGAATCGCGGACCAAGCCCACTCATCAGTGTTTCCTGTCAAATTGGCACCACTGCACTGTGTACTGAGTAGCAGAGAGGCCCCCAGTGGCCCCCAAATAGAGGGGAACACACATGGAACCTTGAAAAGACACAAAGTGAAAGGATAGACACCGAAGATTAGAAGAAACAATTGCAACTCCATAATCAGAGGTCTCCTAAAGGTGCTTCGTCCGTTTGCGGTACCTACCTTTCGTGACTTGCCTAAGCATCCAAAGTACCTCAAAGTATGTCTGGCTATGTTCCTTACCTAATAAAGGTAGGAGCATTCAGTCCGGTTGCAACGAACACGAGGCCCCAAGGACCCGAGCTAGCCCAACGTCCCGACACCAGGCTTGCTCTCATGCGCTGCTTAGCTGCCATCTTGGCTCCATACTGTGCGATGGGCCCCTCAACACGCGGTGAAGTCGGCGCATGTGCTACAAGACAGAGAGATGACGGCGTCTGTTGGCGCACGGTGCCTCGGTCATAATTAGTCTCGCATCGACGATGATTCTCTTCGCTGCAGGGCTCTTGTCTTATTCCAGTACCAAATGTCAGACATACTGTTCGTTCCGCCTATTTTTATAGAAGACTTGGGCAGAGGGATGATATGTTCGCAATTAAGATATGTGACGCATCTTCGTCTCGGGTGGAAAGAATGATGAAAACCGTCGCAACTTGCCAGGACTTGGAAGTCGGAGCTGCTAACCGCAGAGTGGAAAGACAACTTTGGAATCCCAGCAGCGATGGACCAAGAAGTTACTTGGCAGCACCCGTCCGTTACGGAGCTCGTACCAATGGGGATGTTCTAGCCGGAATGATGGTTTTTTCTCGCATGCGCAAGGTGCTGGGTTACCTAAGCAAGTTCGTAATTAAGCAAGTTAAGGTAAGAGCGGCACGAAGTGGGTGGGGTGGAGGGGAAGGGTGAAAGGGATCGGGGTTTCCAACGCGCTGAAAAGGCGGGAATCGCAAAGGCGGATCTTGCCTCTCGCCACGCAGAGTCGGAGACAATCAATGACGGTGACTGAAAAGATTTTGGCAGTTTGGGTGTCGACTGGGATGACCCCTAGACTATGCATACTTGGAGTCCTGAGATAACTCACCTGATTGGGTGCCATCTAGGCGTGTCCCGGCTTCATGATGCGTTCTTCTCCTGCTTGTGGCTGGCGTCAAGCGCCCATTGCCGAGTCGCGAGTGTCAGGTTTCTCCAAGCCTGGCACGCCTGGCCTCAAGCTGTGGCCGGCAATCCGCAAGACTTAGAAAGAGAGAGGAGAGGTGGCAACCAGAAGCACAGAAGCAAGTGGGCGTGGGTGGTGAGCAAGTGGGGAACACAGAATTCGTGGTGTTGACGCGGATGGGATTCTCAGAATTGCCTATCCTTCAAAAGGCTGCGTCAGTGTCGATCCTTGCTTGGAAAGAGTTGACTCTCCACTCGCGTCCCCTCTGATGGATCCCTAGCTGCACGTGCCCGCCCGGACAACCTGCCGTGCCTGCTTCTTGTCACGTTTGCCAATCCTGCCTGCCAATCGTGTCTGCTACCTACTCCTCACCTTACATAGTAGTTAAGCACCTACGAATACTGCCATTCCGATCGAGGATACGGAGGAATGCAACTCCGAAAGGGACACGTCTATCCGTGAAATGAAGAAGAAAGACATTTAGCTGATGGACAGCTGAAAACCGTATCTTTCTGTCCCTGCGACTATTGTCTGCCTTCCTTGGCTGTTCACGCTCAAGCTGAGGGGAAACAGGCCTCATCCAAGTTGCTTCCCCAAATTGGGCATGACGGGGCCGGGTTCTGGCCCAGCCTTTCCTTTGATGCACTTCAACTTCCCCCCTTGCCACAGCCTGCACAGAAATCGAAGTGAGGTCTGGAACGCGGTCTGTACCTGAGCAAATCTACAGACACAACCAAGACAACCTTACTGCCCAACATACGTAGTCCACCATCCACATTCCATACATTCCCTATTAAGCCATGCCCATCGGGCCATTTGTCGACTTGAGTCTCGAAACCGGACTACATCTCAAGTGCGGCACCTAGGCAGGCGAGCAGCAAGCGGTAGGCACCCGCTATCTTGGGTTCTTCTCTCATCTGCCGGCAAACCCCGATGACAGTTCTCCCCCCACCCCGTAGCCGAGTCTCGGGCTAAGGCAACCGGTCTGCAGTTTCTTCCTGCTGGCTTTCTTCTACAGCAGCAAAATTCATTAGGTAAGCACATACATAGATGTCTTCGGTCGACGCGATATCTCAGCCCTGTCCAAGTCATACGTCATAGCATCTGATCCGTGCACGTTTGCTTTCAGATCTCTCGCTCCAATCAGAGCCTGTTCACCAACCCCACCATCAGATCCGAACCACCTCAGTGCAGCTTCCGCCTAGACCAGCCACTGCCACCCGAATATGACAGCTGTTCGGTGAAGACCCGGGAGGAGAAAGACTCCCTTTTCCCCAACCGCACCGGATCTTGCTACTAGGTATCACTTTATCGACGGAACTCTCCGACGCTCCGAGACTTTGGGTTCATGATCTAACCTTAAGCCTCTTTGCCGGATTGCTAGTGTAGACGTTGTTCGCTGCAGCTGTGACCCTGGACCCTTTCTCTTGAACCGACGCCACCGCCACATATCTTGACAAGCTGGAATGCTTCGCCCACCGTGCCACCGTCCAACGACCCTAACATCCTGAGCTCGCTCAAGCCCATATAGCTGAGGCCGTTGACCGCTACGCCTCTCAGTTGAAGGGGATGCGTCGACTCCGTGACTACCCCATCACACACCGGGAACCCGTCTCTCCTCGGCCGACTACGCTAGAAATTGACAAGAAACGAGGCACATACCGGGGGGCCCAGCTTTGGGAGCGGTTGCCCGTTCCGGGCCCGTGTTCGTGCTGAGACCTCCTGAGCGGGAGACACGGGTCACACGGCACGCTGCGTCCTTTGTTCATTAGACGCCCCCGACTTTGTCTCACTCACGTGCTTTCTGGCCGCTCCTGGTTCTCGGCCCCTACCTTTTACCTTAGACATGAGCCATCCCGCTGTCCGTGATCCGCCATCTAAGATCCTACGATGTGCCACCTCCAGGCGAGATGCGGATGCCGTTGGGGCTGACGGGCCATCGCTGGATCGGTCTGGACCCCTGAGAGGTTCGGAGCACTCACAAGTTTAAGCATAATCTCGTGATATTGAACACCCATCCAATCTGCATGGTTTAAGTCGATGCATGCATGTCAGGCATATACGGTACCCATAGCATTTTTCCAGGTTCAGTCTTACGCTGAGAACGCTTTCACGTAAATAGCAGCAGGAACGGGGGACATTTCCCCTGCCAACCAGCTATGCATAGATTTGATAACCGTGGGCATGAGGATCGACGTCTTGGCTTGTGAGCAACGAATACTATTTGAATCGACATGGCTCTCAGGCCGGTCTTCCAAGTATGGAGCCACCACGGCATAATGATGGACAGAAGCGTTTGAGGGTTTTATGGTTTTAACAAACTAACATTTTATAATTTGGGATGTTCGTCTACCTCATACCTGAACACTCAGGTAAGGTACGAAACAGCGCTCATTCACACAGACTGACATACATCACCTTGTATATAGAAATGCAACCACACATGCCTCTGCGAGCTTGCCATTTTCGCCTGGAAAAGCGATTCTCATTCTCACAAACTAACATACGTGGTATGTATAGAGGAAACTACCCCAAGGTGAGGTGAGTGGTATATGCACATCCGGTATAGGCGATCAGACAATTCTTACACGTCCGTCACGTCGTGCCCTTAACCCCTGGCACCTGTGAACATCATCTCGCAGGACAGCGAATCGAAAATTCGTACCTCGGACTTTTGAGCGGGAAATGTGAAGTCAAGTTGCAAAGTTGACTTTAGTCTATCTAGTACGCCATCTAGACTATTTACCACTCATGATTCATATCCTACAACTTCCCCTTGGTCGCCCTCTCCTCCCGAGTCCTCTGCGCACTGCTCAACAAAGCATACAACGTCTGCAACCGCGGCATCTCCACGCCATGATCCCTAGCAATCCTCACCGGGTTCCCCAAAATCACCTCCAACTCCAACGGGCGTCCAGCCTCCCAGTCCAACAACATGCTCGGCCTTGCTCCCGTATTCCGCGCCGTGCTCTTGACAATCCGATCCGGCCCCGCAAGGTCGTCAGGAAAGTCCCGTCCCAGAATCTTGGGCACCGCCGCCCTGATCTCGTTCATGATGCCCACCACATGCTCCCGCAGCTCCGGATCCGTAACCACATCCGCGTTGCCCCGCCCGCCGCTCAGCACGGCAGTCGGGTTAAACGCGGCATTAATACAGAGCTTATGCCACCGCACCGTCTGCAGCCCAATCTCGTCGTGCGGCTCCACGTCGCGGATACCGCCCCAGCCGGGCCCCCACAACGTGCCGAGCTGCTCAACCGCCCTGGTGCCGCGCCGGCCGAGCTCGGCGTCGCCTGTGCCGAGGCCGTTTGTGTGCGGTCCGATACTGATCCTCGTCCAGCGGTTCTGGCGAATCACCCCCGGCGAGGTCTGCTCGGCACTGACGATCGTCACGGCGCTCACGATGGCGTTGTTGGGGAATCGCTTACGGAACGGCTCCTCGACACCGACGCCGTTTTGGATGAGGACGATGCTCGTGTTCTTCCCTACGAGGGGCGCGATCATGGCGGAGTCATCTGAGCGGTCTGGGAGGGCCTTTGTCGTCACGAAGACGTAGTCCCACTGCGTCTGGGAGGATGCGGCGGCATCGACGGATGGGAAGGCGGCGTGGGGATGGAAGACGTAGTCGCCGAAAGTGTGGGTTTGAAGTTTGACGCCCGACTCTTTCAGAGCCTTGTAGTTAGATCTTGCGACGAGTGAGACGTGGATGTTACGGTCGGGCTTAGGCGCGTGAGTTAGTCTGGCTCAGGCAAGTGATATGAAGGGGTTTTGGATACTTACATGATGCAGTCGCGAAGCATAGAAGCACCCGACGGCGCCAGCTCCGATGAAAATGACATTCACAGCGCTACAATGGGGTGGTTCAGTTTCAGTCCTGTCATGAAGCCGTCACTTCATTGTGAACGTGAAAAGGGGGCATACCTATCGCTAGAGTTGATCCCCTCTGAGCCCATTGTGTCTACTTCCACCTTTGGTAGAAATGACGGAAGGTTAGGTCTTATTGGATTAATGTATCCCAAGATAAAGCAAATGATCTAGAACTCTTCCACTCGACGAGGGAAGGTTGATACAACTGAACTTGGCCGAGGTGTAGTTGATTGCGTTTCCGAGGAGTTGCCGATTGGCACTGACGACGACCTGGCCCCACTTCGCCATGTCGCCATTGGCTGTGTGCCGTGCCCGGCTTGGTATCCCGCTTGCTCACGAGCGACGTCGTCTCGATAATACATACCTATCTCTAGAAACTGTATCCCTTGTGATACTCATCTTTACCATGGTCTCGAGTGAGTCACAGATATGGATGCTGCTGTGAGATATCGTTGACTATGTTGCACAACCTTTACATGTGTGATCCGCGATACCTTCATATCAGTGAGTTCGAAAGCAGTGCCTTGTTCATTTATTCGTCAAATTTACAACTGATCCAGATATTGATACTGGGAAAAGCTTTTCTTGCTTGTTGGAGCTTGGAACATTTGATCTGCGGGACCAAGTGACGGACTTGATGTCCGATATTTGTTATCGACTTCCAGTGAATGATAAGGTAGCCTTTAATTAGGCTAGCTATCAGAATACAGACTGCTATATTGCGAAACCAACGTCGAGAAAGAAAGGGCGATCAAACTTTGTTCCCAGAAAACTGCCAAGGCATTGTTGAATACTGGCGGTCTTTCGAGGTCGACGGTATTGATCTCCGTTGTGTGAATCTCCAGGCATGGGGACGAAGAGATCAGCTTATAGGACGGCGCAGATACGGAACTGCCAATTCCATAGAGGCTCTGGAGCATGCGATGATCCATTCAATCGAGTCACTCAGTTACTTGCTACGTATGGATTCATACAGCGGCCACTCGCTGTGGCCTTGTCATTCACCAGCAACACTTTTGACCACCTGAAGAGGTCACTCGCAATCGCAGGCCCGCGGCTCCAAAACCACTCGCAGATGTGTGTATGCCTCAGGTCGAGGGCGCCCCACAGGCGGCAGCTGGACCGCCTTCCCGATTGCCTCCCCCCACGCACGTTCCTTCCCTCCCGCACCGCCCACTGTCTACATATTTCTTCCCAGCGAAAATTTTCCTTCTTCTTCCACCTCCAACAACAAACTTTTATCCCAACCTCTCCTCAAGTCATTTGGCCCAGGCTATCACCACTTCTGCGTTGCCACTCGCAAGTCAAAAGCCGGCACTGGCAGACGTTGCAGTTTATCGCAGTAGCTGCCTTTGCCTGCGATGAGATGCGCTTGGTCAAATCCTGGGCCTTGCCATGAGCCTCAAAAGTCATGAGGCTTAATGCTCGCCTTGCTTCACAACAATTTTCCTTTCGCCATATGACCGAAGGAGCTACTGGCGACGACGATCTTGCTGCAATGCGATAACCAGTCATCGATGTGGCTTCTTTCCTTCGCTTCGTGATGTATTTGCCAGACCTACGTTTTACGTAGATCGGCATCAACTGTCGCATATCACTCGACGTTGGTGTTTTCGCTCCTGGCATAGAACAATTATTTTAAAAACCCGTTGCTGGGCACCTGGCTTTGAGCAGTCGTCTTGACTATCATGAGAAGTTGGGAATCAGCTGAGGTTACACTTGATGCAAACACATCATAATTGATGTTTAAATCGCAAAGATGGCGCTTTGTTGTCTATGCTGAGAGGGTGTGATGGCTGTGATGTTTCTTCCCTGTGAGTCTGTACTTCCTTCCTTCCCGCCCAGCAAGGAAGGAACAGCTCCAGACACAGCTGCAGCTTACGCCCCAATGCCACTGGCGTCGTCTAGTTGTGTCTCGCAAGTTGGACCTGTACCTGCCTTAAATGACTTCAGTCTCCCGGGCCTACCTACCTACGAGTTGTCCTTTCTCTTCGGCTCTTACTGCTTGCTGCTGACACGACTGCAAACCGTCATCTGCTCTGTTACACGCAATCGTCCTCACCTGGAAGAAACAATGTTTTGTCTCCAGGTTGTCTCCAGCTGACATCGAAACGAAGAGCCGAGATTTGACAACCTCAGTGGGAGCAACATCAAACTCCTTTTCAGTCCCCGACAACTCTGGCCGTGTGGTCCTTTTCTTTCCCTCTTCCCAATAATCACATTGTAATATTCGTTTCTATGTTACCGGCTCTTAGTTGTGGTGCCAGTAAAGCACATCACATCGTTGAGACTTGTCATCCTAGCAGCGTCAATGCTACGGTCAGAACTCCCGTACTTGAATTTCGACAGGCCACCAGCATGCCGTATCCGATGTGTCTCTTCCGTAACTCGATCTCAGACAGGGCAATGTCTAAAGGCATTGGATATTGGCATCGCACCAAGTCTCATTGCTTCTGTCACTGACACTGGCGAAAGAAGAGACGAGACACGAATCCAAGAAGCTTGATAGCTCCAGCTCTAGATGGAGAACAGATGGACCACATCGTACTAGACCTTTGCCCAAAACGATTCTCCCATCCTCTTCCGCTTCGCCTCCCTCGCCAAGAATATAAACACCATCCCCAGGGTCAAACTACTCCCCGCGAACATCTGCGCACCTAGATACCGGCCCCCCATCGCAGAAATCAGTGCCCCGGCAATCGGCGGCCCTGTCAACACGCTTACGCTCACAATCGTAAACACCATACCGATGCGCGCCCCCTGCTTCTGCGGATCGGCCGTCAGCGACGCTAGCGCAGAGGGAAAGAGCGCCTGGATGCCGCCGAGGGCGATGCCGCACAGCGCAGCCCAGACATAAAGACCCGCCCGTGAGGCGATGGGCGCCCAGCAGTACGCCAGGAGCGCAGCGGCGCCGATAGTGGGGACGAACATTGTCAGATTACCGACGTGGTCTGCGAGGTGGTTCAGGAGCAGGCGGCCGACGATGCCGACGCCGTTTGTGATCATGAGGAGGTCGAGGGATTGATCGTAGGAGACGCCCTGGATGTCGCGTGCATATGCAGCTAGGAAGAAGAAGACAATGTACGACGCCCAGAAGAACTGCAGTTCAGAAGAGGTAAGTACACACTCAGGGTGCAGGGGAGATGTGCTCCTTCGGTTACGAAGCCAAGAGGAGAGAAAAGGTTATGGGAGATCCGCGTACCAGAGATGCCCCTGCGGCATAGAACGAATAGTCCAAGTCCTTGAAGGCCGCCAACTCCACAAAGCTCCCCGTCTTACGAGGCGGCACCCGCGGCTTGAGGCAAAAAAGAGCGGTGACAAGCGCGGCGGCCTGGATGAACCCGAGCGTCCTCATCGTCCAGCCGAATCCGGCCCGCGGCAGCATCTCCCGAATAACGATAGGAAAGATCACGCCTCCCGCACCGCTCCCGCACGCCGTGATTCCAATGGCAAAGGAGCGTCGCTTGGCAAAGTACGTCGAGACGAGGGCAACAGCGGGACAGAACAGGCATCCGTTTCCCAGGCCGACGCAGACCCCCTGAGCTAGCAGAAGCTGCCAATATTGTGTACATGCTGACGCCGACAGGGTTCCGGCGACGACGAGGACGGAGCCGACTATCGCTACGGACCGGAAGTAGCCCGCATCTGTGAGGCGGCCGGTGAAGGTGCCGATGAAGAAGAGGAAAAATATATCTATGGAACCGATCCAGGATATGTCCGAGGGGCTGCGGTTGAGTTGTGTGATGTAGTAGCTCTGGAAAGCGCCAAATGAGTTGATCATGCCCCTAACATCGGCTTCTTAGTTGTTGGTTGAGAGAGTTTTGTTTCGAGGACCCTACCATGTGTTCATAACGACGAGGAAGGTGCCAAAGACTGTTGAGAATGGGAGGTGAGTACAAGGAGCTTTCTTAGTGCAGACTTTTGGTCTTGGGACACTTACCACATAACCAAGCCCTCAACCCGCCATCCGGCGGTGGCCCAGGGTTAATGGTAGAACGCGAAGTTACTCTACTTGCAATACGACTTACAACACGATCAACTCGACTTGCCGACTGGTTCGGCAAGCCGGTCATGGCGTCCTGGCGATACGTGTTGTACGTGAAAGAATCCCTCCTGCTGTCGGATTCGGTCGATTCCAACTGTAACTCACTCTTGACGCCATTATTCTCGAGGTCACCCCCTTCAAGCGTCTTCTCGTTGTTGTTTGACCCCGCCGGTCCACTGGTCCTTGTGTTAGACATTGCTCTTCGCTAAGGCTGTTGTCTTGAGGCGTACTCGAAGCAAATGAATAATAATCACTTCGGACAAGTTCTTGGGAAAAGTTCTCTTGAGGGGAGCGAACTGAGCTTCTCCTAAAGAACCGAGGATATTTCGCCGGCAACTAACACCCGCTCTTGTGGTTCAAATTGGTCAGCAGGGAGCCACCCAAGCCAACGGCGGGATTCCTTTCCCTTTTGAGCAATCTGCCTCGTATTTCGATGACAAATTTGAATCTCAGATAGCGCGATTCCTCGATTAAAGTACTTTTGTTCTAAAAGCACCCCTCGGCCCTGTTCCGGCACTGTGTCAATCGGATTGGCTTGCTGGCTGCAAAAGAAGTTCAGTCAGATAACAGCCTTCATCTGGGGTTGTTATCCTCCATTCGGTCTCTGGGTTGTATCTGCTGGACGTATCCGTACTTTGGACAAGAGGCTGCGAGGGAGGTAGCAGCGTCTGTGTCATTAGTCAGCGCTCCCGTTCACCTCACAACGAAATTGCTAACTGCCCAGCCACGCGCATCTTCCACATTTTCCTACTATATCGGGAGACGCTCTCATCCCTCTCAGCAGCGACAAACGTATACACTTGCTGAATAAATCTTATTTCGCCGTCTCTTTCGCTGAAATTGTACACACCTGTAGAATCACCATGGATAATGACGGAAGCAGGGAGCCACCAAGGAAGCGTCTACGTTCAGCACAGCCAACTCGTCGCGGGAGGTCTCGTGTTGCACGGGGCGGTGGCTCCCTGAATGGCAATACTCCCAGAGAGGGGTCGGACGAAGCTGATAATAGATCAACAGAGCAGCAAGTACAGGCGCCCGACAGCTCGTTTGATCCACGATCGCTTTCCATACCCGCTGCTCTGGAGAGATACAAAGCTTGGAAAGGTAAGAAGTTGAGCCTTGCAAGAACCTCGCTATGGTAGCCTCCTTACTGACAAGCGCATGGGGGAAAAGAAGCCGGTGCGCAACACGATGAATTTTGCTTCATTTGCCGGCAGACCAATGGTCTCACCTACTGTGTCACTTGCAAGAGGTCATACCATGAGTCTTGTAGGCCCCAGGAGAGCACTCATTCTGTCGTTAAGGGCAACAGTTGCTTCTTTTGCGAAGTCTGCGTCCACCGGAACTGGCACAAAGATCCTCCGTTTTTGATGCCGGAGATGCGACCTTTGGCTGCTTCATCATCATCACCTACCCATGCGGAAACAGTCAACGCACTGGGAAGTACACCCTCGACTAAGGGAAAGGCTCGGCAAGATGTACCTGATTCACATCAACTCCGCCAGGACCAAGAGGCAAGTGGGACCGAGGCGTCGAGAGCCACGCCCAGTACGGCGGCCAGGAAGACTCGTACTATCAAGGCATCCCACTCGGCTGCCAGGGAGGCGACAATCGCAGGCCCTTCATCTAGCAACACTCGCATCGAAAGCATCACATTACCGGCGGCGGCACCCTCACGGGACGAGCCCCGCAGCGGCTCATCCACAGTAGGACGGGCACCAGCCGCGCGGAAGTCTCGCTACATAACTCTGCCGACAGACGTCGACGCCGCGCTGCGTCTCCTGTATGCCGAGCTCGAGACAGCCCACGAGCTCCGGCACAAAGTTGGCGACGTCGAGGGTCAGGTCGCGCAGATGCAGAGGGAGCTCCACCTGCGCAACAGCGAGCTCGCGGTGGCCAGGCGCGCGGCCGACGTGAGCCGCGTCTCGGCGACGGAGATGGAGCAGCTGCGAGAGCGGGTCTCGCTGGGGGAGACCGCCATTGCTGAGGCGGTCGAGCTGAGGTCGGAGAATCGGATGTTGCGCGCCGAGCTGGAGACGAGCCGCGAGAAGCTGACGGAGAGTAATCGGGCGCTGGAGGAGTGGAAGCGAAAGCTTTCGGCGTTGATGTCGTAGCTGGAAGGCTGAGAGTTCATGCAAGGCGAACGATGTGGTTGGCATGCTTCATCTTGCGTAATTTGTAATCAAGACCTTTTGTGCAGATATTCAGGTGGGGAGCTTCAAGACAAGAAGAGGTATGTTTGGGGGAACGCTTCAGAACTCGTGCTTGTGCATACCATTTCCGACATGTCAGTGTGCTCCTGATCCCAGGTTGTGGATCGGGGATTGGGGCTAATCTTGACCCTTCATGTCAAGCGCGCCCTTGATCCTGCGCGGAAATTTGAACCCTGGCGAGACATGAAGACCTCCAATGATATTGCCGGGACTTTGGCGTCCGTGGCTTCGGCCGGAAATCCCTCGACACAGTGTGCCTTGGGACGCCGAAGTCCTGATAACACCACTTTGCTGACCAATTTCACGAAACCAAACGGGAAAGGGGGAGCACTCTCCTACGTCTACGCCGTGGCCCTTCTTACACCCCCGAATCATGATTGCACAATACTTTCCTATCCGACCGAGTCCGTTGGAACGGATGGTTGCGCTCACGGAGCCCGTCCTATTCCTGAAATTGGTCATCCAAGTTTACCCCGCGGTTGCGTGACGCCCTGTGTGAGACGATTCTTGGCCATCACCGTATACGTAGATCCATCGTCGGGATAAAGGGCGGAACAAAGCTCATTTACACAGGTTTCAAGTACGGCACTGTAGAGTGGATGCTGACGGGTCTGTTCGGGACGTTCTTCTAATCGATGGATGCTTGTTGCTGTCTGTACCTTGCCATCTCATTGTGTCAGAACCCCGCACTCAATTCAATGTCCGAAATTTGTCATCCGTCGTTCGGCTCACTTGCATGCTGACTATCGCTGTCTTGCTTCCTTACCTTGGGTATATAACGAGTCTACTCGCTATCCTCTGACTGAAGTTGACAGATAGTATCCCATCTTCTTAGTAGTTCAGGTCAAGTTTCCCAATACTCCCCAACAAAACACTCACACCATGGCCCCTCCCAACACGGCAATCGTCCTCGTCGACCCCTACAACGACTTCCTCCATCACGAGGGCAAAATCTACCCGTCCGTGAAAGAATCCCTCCAGGCTACAGACACAAATGCCAACCTGCGGACCCTGGTCGCCGCGGCACGCAAGCAGAAGCTGCCCATCTTTTACGCCCTGCACAAGACGTGGAAGGAGGGCAATTACGCCGGCTGGAGCCACCTCACGTCGTCGCACAAGGGTCTCGGCGCCGGGCATGGCTTCGAGGAAGGCAGCTGGGGCGCCGAGATACTCGAGGGTCTTGAGCCGGATGTGGTGGGCAATGGGGATGTGATTGCTAGTAGGCATTGGAATAATAGGTGAGTTTGTTGCGTGCGTGGGAGAGGGGAGCAAATGTGAATATGATTATTGATATGGAATAACAGCGGATTCGCAAACACGGATTTGAATTATCAGTTGCGGCAGAGGGGGGTTACGCACCTTGTTATGGCGGGCATGGTTGCCAATACCTGTCTCGAGTCTACGGCGCGGGATGCCAGAGAGCTGTAAGTTGAAATCGGGCATAAGAAGTACCTGGAAAGAGGGCGTAAACTGACGATAGATGCGTTTTCAACGTGCAGTGGTTTCCACGTCACCCTTCTGTGAGTTTTCTGGCCCCTTACTTTACCTCAACAGCGTTGGTGGCTTTTTTGCTGACTTACACAGGACCGATGCGACTGCCGGCTTCACCACCGCTGGGAAGGATGCCGCGACGAACCTCATCTGGCCGCTGATTGTGGAGAATGTCACGACGGTTGGGGATTGGGTTCGTGAAAGTGAGACCAAGGCACGAGTCTAGTTTGATCTATCGTATGGCTTTAGTGACGATGTGCAATGGTGAGCTAGCATAGGGTAGCGGCTGCAACAAGACATTCATTCTCAGCAGCTCTTCATGCAGGTACTAACGGCCAAATTGGTCAGCAACGAGACAGATGGGAGCATAGTGACCCACAGATTGTTTCCACACACTGATTAGGTAAGGTAGCGTCCCAGTGATGACTAAACAATACGCCCGTCGCACCTCGGCAAGATCTGACGCGTAGCCCGGGGAGCCAAGGCGATTGGATAAGCTTAAGTCCATTGTATCTCACTTCCATCTGAGACGTCGCATTGACAGCTGCCCAACAAGCCCCCGTTACAGCTCCTCCTCCATGCCATACCTTACCCAACAATGATAGAGATATTCCAATACTAAGGTCTAGGGGACAGCTGCCATGCACGGGCTGTGCAGTAGCCCCGAATACCGTGACAGCTCCGGAGACTGACAATGACCAGTCGATCCGGTTGTCTCTTCGTCTCCGACTCCCGCACAGTCTCTCTGATGTGGGGGAGGGATCTGCCGGAGGGGGGGGCTCCATTTATCGGAGCTCAGCGGCGAGTCGTGATTCACCGTGACAAGCTCCAAAGATCCATCGCATTGCGTTTCTGGTTCCCCCATCTTTCTTTGCCGTCCCTCGTCAATCTGATTAATCAGCCGGACCAGTCCGTTGCCGCTGCCGTCCCTGCCGCACGTCTTTGAGATATCTCACACTTCTAGACGCCGCATGTCTTTTTTTGTTTGCGTAACATCGACCTATTGTAGAGACTCACGGATATCCTCACTTCTTTTTAACTTTGGTACGGGGTATATATCTACGTCATACATATCCTACATTGGCGGACCCCCACGTAAATCCAAAGGACCCCGCGATAGCTTCACCGCCCGCGCCGCCAAAAACCACTACAGAACCTCGGCATGGGTTCTCAAGCTTGGAACCTCCCCGCACCAGTCGACGACCCGGACTCCATGTTGTCTCGCAAGTTCGGGCGGGAGACCGTCAACTACTTCGCCGGCAGCGTCCTCAACCGCGTCGGCTGGCTCCGTACCGACCACACCTTTATCCGCGCCGCCTTCCAGTCAAAGGACACCAAGTTCATGCTCCTCAAGGACCTCAGCCCCCTCACCAGCGCCCCGACAAGAGTGCAGTTCGTCTCGTATGATGACGTCAAGCCCCTCACCACCGAGGACCCGTTCGGGCCGTCCGAGGAGGACCTGATTAAGAACTTTGACTCGACGGTCACGAAGCCGCTCGTCATCTTTTTAGGGCTCGAGGAGAGCGCAAAGGTGCCATTTGAGTACAAGGGACTCAAGGGACGGCCGTGGTTCGCCGTTGATGTGACGCCCAAGGGCTCGTACGCCGATGCCGCTAACCAGCTTATCGAGGCTCAGTCGAGCAAGGGGTACAAGTTCCTCGAGGGAATGAGGCCGATGACGCTCGAGCCGGATCATGGTAAGGACTTACTCTCACATGAACAACCCTGTTTTGTATGTCAGACATTAATGAAGAAATGCCAGCTGGTATCTACGCCCAGGCCCGTTCCATCGCAGACTGGAACACGCGCAACAAGTTCTGCGCCGGGTGCGGACAGCCGTCCCTGTCAGGCAACACGGGCTACAAGCGCCTCTGCCCGACCACCGACCTCGCCGGTTCAGAAACGCCCCGCGAGCGAGCCGAGTGCGCCACCCGCAAGGGCGTTTCCAACATCAGCTTCCCGCGTACGGACCCGACCATGATTGCCGCCGTCATCTCCTCGGACGGCACAAAGGTACTCCTGGGCCGGAACAAGAGGTACCCTCCAAACTGGTACAGCACGCTCGCGGGCTTCATCGAGCCGGGCGAGTCCATTGAGGAGTCTGTCCGGCGCGAGGTCCTTGAGGAGGCCGGCGTGCGCGTGGGCCGGGTGGTGATCCACTCGAGCCAGCCGTGGCCGTACCCGGCGAGCTTGATGATTGGCGCCATTGCGCAGGCGCTGCCCGACGGCGAGACGATTGATCTCGGCAACGACCCCGAGCTGGAGGACGCGCAGTGGTTCCCGCTCGAGACGGTGCGGGACGCGCTCAAGTTTGGTGTTAGTGGACTTGGTGAGCCTGCGCCGGAGGGGTATAAGGAGGGAGGGCTTCGTTTGCCTCCTCCGGCGGCTATTGCGAACCGTTTGATGACTGCTGTTGTTGAGGGTTATGCGACTGCCGTGCCAAAGATGTGAGAAAGGGTGATGGAGGGCTGTCCAGGGTTTAAGGCTCGCGAACATGGTTAGACGTCATGATAGATGTGAATGAATAGACTCGCCCGCATGTTTGCGTCTTTCCCGAATTTCAAGCCGAGATGCCTAAGCGTGAGCGCAGCAGCACTAGTGCTCTACAATTGACTGAGTAATTGGCTTCACAATAAGTATGACAAACGTCGATGCAGAAAAAGGAAGAGAAGGAGGATTGCCTCCACCGGAAAGACTCCAAATCTCACTTGAGGGATGTCTAAATAAGTATCGTGTGACATCAAGGTCCTCAACGGATTTCACGCCTCAAAAAGTGACAAGAGGCAACCGGAGCCATCCATGCCTGCCCGGGCACGTAGGGCTGAGGAGCCGCCGACACTAAGTCCCCTAAAACCCCTGTATGCGTCCCCACCATCCACGCAGCGGACAGCGTGTCAGCGCTACAGCAGCACAAGCTCCAACGCCAGTTTGAGCTCCAGCTCGCACGTAGCTCCATCCACTTCCTCCATCCACATCCCGCCAATTGCGCCGCCATCGAAACCCTCCACCCGTCCCGGCGCCAACACGATCCTCCAAACCCTCGCTCGTCCAAGTCGTCGCAAACCAAGTGCCGCTCGCCAGTCGGCCGTTTGCCTGCCATGTATCACCTAGCCAAGGGCTTGTACCTCCTAGCCACCAGCAAAGAAGGTTCGCGCATGATGAAACAGAGCCCATCGTCCACAACCCACAGCTAATCTTCTTTTCCCCCCATTGCAGAGTACTCCGTCATCCTCCTCGGCCTTGACAATGCCGGCAAGACAACCTTCCACGAGCAAATCAAGCACTTCTTCCTCGAGTCGCGCCCAGACCCCAAACTCAAAACCGTGCCGACGGTCGGCCAAAACGTCTCGACGATATCCCTGCCGGACATGTACCTCAAGATCTGGGACGTCGGCGGCCAGCACTCGCTGCGCCGCCTATGGCAGAGCTACTACGCCTCGGCGCACGCCATCGTTTTTATTATCGACTCGACCGATATCGGCGACGGCAATCTCGAGCACGACAATGGCTCCGGCCGGCTCGACGAGTGCCGGCTCGTGCTCGAGGATGTGCTGCAGCACTCCGAGACGGAGGGCGTGCCCGTCCTGGTGCTGGCCAACAAGCAGGACCGCGAGGACTGCGTCGAGGTCGTGAGGATCAAAGAGGGGCTCGTGAAGAAGGTCTTTGAGGGCGAGAAGGCGAGCAGTATCCGCGACTCGAGGGTGTTGCCTGTTAGTGCGCTGACGGGGACGGGAGTCAAGGAAGCGGTGGAGTGGGTGAGGTCGCGGGTGAAGTGGAATAAGGAGTCTAGGCCGCCGGTGATGCGGTAGTTGAGGCTGGCTTGTCGTCATTTACGAGACATGATAGTATACGGGAATTTCCTTTTTATCTTTAATTTTTTTTTAGACTGGCGTAGTTGGAGTTGAAGGCTCAAAGTCGAGGGACAAAACGGGTGGAGCCACATTGGTCACTCGCTTCTTCTTGCAGAGCATGGGGGGTTTTGAGAGCGTGTTTGGCTGGGTATCATTTTACAATTTTTTGCTTCATCTTCCTCTGCTTGACGTTGTTCTATGCGTCCACCACTCTGTCATTCTCCGCAGACAAAAGCTCTGATATAAGACCGCCCTTGTCCCTCCGCTTCACATCATCCGCCAACCTCTCGTCCACTATCGTCGAAAACTCCTTGGCCTTTTGCAACGCCACGTTGCCGCAGTGCAGCAGCGTCACCGCCTCGACGGGCGTGCCCCCGAGCTTGGAAATCTGGCTAATCTCGCCGTGCTTGTTCAAGCTGACCGTCACGCTGCTCGTCCGCAGCTGCTCCTCGAGCCAGTTGGCATCGACAAGGGTAATCTCCCCCTCGTCGCCGTAGAAGCTAAACGTTACGCAAAAGGGGCTGTGCAGCCAGCTCAGGGGCACGGGCTCGCGCTCGGCGGGTGTGAAGATTGTCAAGGCCTCGCCCTCGTTGGAAGTGTCGGGCTTGCGGAAGTGGCGCAGGGCGGCGACGACGGCGAGGCAGGCTGCGTCGGTGAGGTTGCCGTCGTGGGAGAGGACGTGGACGTCGGCGCGGACGGACCAGACCTTTTTACCGGCGATGAGGCAGAGGGATTCCGTGTCGAGGGCGCCTGAGCGGCGGACCGTCTTCTCGAGGAGGCGGGAGAGGAGGACCTCGGCTTCGGTTGGGCGGTTGACCTCGAAGGCTGGAGAGGCCATGGGGCTGAGTTCGGTGGTGATTTGGAAGACGCCCTCGAAGGGGCGGTCTGAGTAGGGGACCGTCACTTCTGCCGAGACTTTGACGAGGACTCTGTGATGCGGATTAGAAAGATTAATCTGGTGAGTGAGAATGACGTGAGTTACTAACCTCGTCTTGCCAAGTTCGACGTTGGCCACTCCATATTCATCGCCAAATGTGAGCTGGACTTTTCGATATTGGTCGAATTCCCGGCCGTCAAGTCTCAAGTTCTCCTTGAGAGCTTGTGTGACGAAAGCCTTCTCATTCGCTGACGGCTCGGCTTCTCTGGGCATTTTGGCGGTTGAAATTGGTAAAATGTGAGGGCAATTTCAAGACTGAGAAACTCATGGGATTCAATAGTGACCTGCAAGTGTTCAGTGAGGTCAATCGCATTGGTGGGGCGCTTGCAAAAATTCTGCCGGGCGGTCGGAGCCTTGAAGTGTTGCCTCCCCTGCAGCTGGACCCGCTCAGCGAGCTGCGCGCGTCGCATTGCATTTGCTGGGGCACAACCCAAACGTCAATTGTCAATCTACGAAGTACTTTCAGCCTCCTTCAACATCCACCAATCTTCAATTCTCACGACCCGTCGCAAACTGCCAACATGACTACCGCCCATCGTCCGACCTTCGACCCGGTTTGTCCCCATTTCAATCTCCGCGACGAGAAATAATTACTAACAAATTAATTAGGCCCGAGGCAAAGAAGCCCTCCGCGGTCCGGCCTACCACCAACGCCTCCTCCCAGCGCATACCCAACTCAAGTTCCGCCAAGCAGGCCAGGGCGGCAACGCGGACGAAGAATCCCACGACCTCAGAGCCGAGCTCCTGGCCGCCGAGGCCGCCCATTTTGCCAAGAAGAACGGCGGCGCGCTTCCCCCATCCGCAGACGACGATGCCGACACCGACATGGACGCGCCCTCGGGCGGCGGCGTGAAGCGTGCCCTCGAGGCTGGGTCGCAAGCAGACACGGAAGAGGGCTTCGAAGCGAAACGGAGGAGGATATTGGAAGAGTCGCGGGATGTGGACGCATCTTCAGATGAGGAAGGAGACGAAGAAGAAGACGACGATGATGATAGTGATGAGGACAGCGATGATGAGGAAGCGGAGCTGCAGCGTGAGATGGAGAAGATTCGACGCGAGAGGGCGGAGAAGAGGGAGAAAGAGGAGAGGGAGAGGGCCAAGGTTGAGGAGGAGGCGCGAGAGAGAGACATTGCGCTGGGGAACCCGCTGTTGAATAAACCCGATTTCAATATGAAGAGGCGGTGGGACGACGATGTCGTTTTCAAGAACCAGGCGAGGGGAACGGAGGAGAAGGGTAAGGGCAAGGAGTTTGTCAACGTGAGTATTTCCTTCCTCCTTGGTCTAAGCACTTGTTTGAAGGGTGAGTGCAACTGGTGTGATGATGGTTTTGCTGACTTGCATATAGGATCTCCTGCGCTCCGACTTCCACAAGCGGTTTATGAGCAAGTATGTTAGATAGATACCCACCGCCAACTATGGTGGCAAGTGCGACTTTTTGTTTTCTCACTCTTTCAATCGGTTATGAGACGTTGTGAAGGCAATGGAGAGGGCGATGCTTGGACAGCTTGGTGTGGTCTATTGAGCCCATTCTTGACCACAGTGTGGACTTGACGGGATTGAGAGCCTATCCTCATTTTCAAGCGTCTAGTCGAGCAAATATGGGCTTGTACCTCACGTATATCTCACACGATCCCAACACTCTCACTTCAAAGGCCATCATTGTCGATTGTTTGTCCTGGCAGCCAAGCCTAGGCGCAATGCGGACTATGATATTCATGGCTTGAAATAGATCCGGTCATCCTCCTCGATGAGATGTCCTAGACTGATTTCGACCACGCTCGATTCCATCTTGAGTGTGGTGTTTCTTGCACACTGCTTGAGACTTATGCTCAGCGCCGATTGACAGAGCCGGCATCTTCACCCCTGAGAGGCCGCAAAAGCGGGTCGAGCCCGGACGGATAGTTTTAAGATTCCGGTACCCCTGGTCTTGGTGCAAGCGGCGAAGAGTCATCCGGAGAGACTTCAAGACCGAACTTATATAAAGCGGATCTCGGTTTCGGTTTCCATGCACAGAGGAGCGTTTTCAACTCTTTCCTAGTCCACGATGCCAAGCGGGTAGAGCATTGTAAGATAGGACAGGCTTTGAAATGCTCGCGTATCGGACGATTCTGTGAGGTCTGGACTTCTTCTCCGCAAGTCAATTGTGCGAAGACCTCGCATCTAGCTCCGATCTTATCACTTTGGAGGCTGGCGAAACGCTTACCTGCAATTCTACTTACTTTGTCTCTGCAGAGACATCATTATGATTCATTTTAGCTCATAACCAAGCATCACGATACTTTTAAGCATGTAGAGAACGACTCATATAAGGCGGCGGACTCGAATGAGTATCACGCATACTTCTCGTCACTACCCTCGCATCCCGCCATCACCAAACAACCCGGCATCATGAACTCCCCGACAGTCGCACTCATCACTGGCGCCAACGGCGGCATCGGCCGCGCTGCTGCCGAAGTCCTAGCTTCTGCTCATGGTTACTACGTCATCATCGGCTCTCGCAGCCTCAAAGCAGGCCAAGATGTGGCCGACTCGCTCACATCTCGCGGCCTGTCCGCGTCCGCCATCCAGCTCGACCTGACCGCCGACAAGGACATCCTCGCAGCGGCGGCTTACATCTCCGAGACGTTTGGAAAACTCGACGTCCTAGTCAACAACGCCGGCGCTCACTTCGACATGAACGACCACCTCTCCGTGCGTGAGCAGTGGACGTCCACTTTTTCCACCAACGTCGTCGGCACCGCCGTCTTGACTGACGCGCTCCTCCCGCTCCTCCGCAAGGCGCAGTTCCCGCGGATCGTCTTCGTCAGCTCTACTAAGGGGTCCATGGCCGCTGCCCTGGACGGGAGCGCCGGCTTCTACGACGTTGCGGTCAAGGCGTATGATGCCAGCAAGGCTGCGGTCAATATGTTGGCCATCAGCTATGCTAGAGTGTTAAAGGGTGACGGGGGCGTTGCTAATGCTGTGTGCCCGGGATTGATTGAGACGAAGATGACGGCGTTTATGGGGAAGGATCTGCTGGCTAACTATGGCGCTGCTTCGGTTGAGCTGGGGGCGAAGAGGATTGTGGAGCTGGCTACGCTGGAGAAGGGGAGTGCTGTGTCGGGGACGTTTTCGAATAGGGATGGGACTATCCCTTGGTGAGAGTTCACCGCACCGTCATGTTGTGCTTGGAAGTAAGGGCAAGCTCGCCCCCGCAACAGTCATATCTGAATATCCATAGACTCAAGCTAGATGCTAGATGTGTGACGAGCCTTCATGTACGATAGGATAGCTTAAAGATCTGAAGATTGGAAAGAATGCTAGGTGAGCTGGCATAGGACTTTCCATGCTCAACTTACTAGGTTCTTCACCTCCCGTCCCTGCCGCACCAGTTGTGCAAAACGTGATGTGCCCATATTTGGGAAGGTTCACAACTCAATGACTACCTCTCAGCCTGATTTGAGGAAGGTGATGCCCATGGACTTTGCAATAGAGGGGGACAGGCCGATTGGGCAATCTAGCGGCAAGTTCGGTAATAGAAATGCCACCTCTTTTCCTCTCCCAACATTTTTCCCATCCACTGCTTTTCCTCTCGTCGTACCCCATAGAGTTTAATCCATTAGAATCTGTTGGTCTACTCTGCAAATACGTTATTCGAATCCATCGCAAGCATACATCATGACACTCCCACCACCCGGCTTTTCCCCTTCCACGCGAGCCTTGGATACCCCATGGACCCCAGTCGAGAACTAGGAAGTGTACGCGATGAGACGTCCATACGAGAGAACCCGATTCATCATTCGATGCTTAGAGCATCGTGAAATTGAATGCCAGGACTGCCCACAGCCCCGCGACGCCTACGCAGCGGAGTATCTAAGATCTCTGAGGCCCCAGCCCCGGCCGCCGAGGGAAGGGCCAAGCGATGCCGATCTCGTACGCGCAGCACGACCTATCTACGTCTTCTACTCGGGCCGACGTCCAAAACTCGGAGACCCCTATTTGTCTTACCAAGAAGACGATGCGATGAGTGATATTGAAGGAGAGCTTGATCACCCCATGGACGACGATTCCTCAGACTGGAGCATGGACAGCTGTCCGGAACTCTCTGATGGCTCCTCTGCGGATCGCGAACGCAGTGCAAATCTGCGAATTAGCCCATTAATGGATTGTCCGAGAATCGAGTATCCGCAGTTACAATACCCAGAGACGCCATAGCAGTCGGCTATTGGGCGACTTGCCACGCGGTACATAAACGTCCACGACCCCACGGACTTTCTCATTTACATCCAGGGCCTCTGTCGTCCAGAGACAAGAACAGGCAGCTGGGCATACCTCTTCAAGCCCTACCCCCTTGGAGCCGTTGCTGAACGCCTAGAGAGGTTGGGTCCATACGGCGACCTTCGCACGCCAGTGAGGCACAGAGCCGAGCTTCGCGCAGCGCTCGCGGCACTGTCGATACCCGCCGACTACAGACATGGGTTCGGATCACTCACAATTGCGACCACTCGCGACTGGCTTGCAGAAGACGGAGAGCTGTTGGTCGAAAAGGCATGGGAGGAAATTCAAGCAGCAGGACCCAACCCCCTGCCGGATTGGGCAGAGGCTCGCAATACCCCTGAGTTTGCAGGCGTATCCGACGGAGACCTTTGGTTTGCCATAAAACGACAGATACAGACTCTCTACTCGATTGACGACCCTCGAAAGGCGATGACAGTACAGTTTCGCCTGATCAATTCCGAGTTCAATAGAGATTGCCAAGGGGAGGCCTTGGGGGCGCTCGAGAAACCTCGGCGGCCTTATCGCTTCAGAGAGCCTGAGCTTACAAGGGAGTGGTCATAAAATATCGACCACAAGTGCTTACAGAGTATACATCCTATCGGTGACACTCTTTGGAAAGAGTCGTGGGAATACAAGTAGAGGTGCATAACTGTCGCGGGGGAAAGGGGTTCTGCTGGGCGGAGTGTGCTTTTCCAGTGGTTTCTCATCAAGTAGCTTCAATTAACTTCAAGTTACCCTACAACATATTGACGAGCACTTCACCCTAGTCACACTGAAGAAAAGAAAATTAATCATGTCAAAGAGTTGTGTTGAGACTCTTAAACAGCCCAATGCCGGCTACTGAAGCGTGATAAGTCTACCTAGTACCTTTTGAGGTCCCATGAGCCGCTATTACTTTTTTTTCTTCCACCTCCCCCCTTTCCTTTTAGAGCGAGTCTTTCCTTGCTGCGGAAAGGACCATCGTCAAGAGGGGGCCCGCTGTTATGATATCATGCTAAACGAAGCAAACGCTGGCACATGGTAATAACCATTGGATCTGGGATGATGGCTTCCCGGGACATGAGAGCGGTATCGGACTCTCCCTCCGACCTCTGGGTGGGAAATATCTTCCCCCTCCCATGCTCAGTAGTGATCGGCTCGATTGTCCGCCCTCTGAGACCTGGTAGGTCGAACATTGTGACGACCAAGCCTGCCAATCGTCCCCTCCGTCGCACGCGAACCGGCAGTACCCGAAACACCAGCACCGGAATGAGGCGGGCCGCCAGGCTTCTAGCCCCAACGGCTGCCCTCGCGCTCCGCCTCCATGCGACGCATCCGCTCCTCCTCCTCGTCGATGCTAATAGCTTCGCTACGGCGCCCCTTCCGCCGGCTCCGCTTGCCGTCATCACCGCCTCCGCCGCCACTACTCTCGTCCCTGCTGCGTTTCGCGCCCGCCAGCCCCGCCAGACCGGCCATGCGCTGCGTCTCCTTCAGCAGACGCTCGCGATCCCGTGCCTCGCGCTCTAGGGCATGAGCGTCTTTCGTAGGGACACTGGGCGCGGATTTGCTGGTGACGGAGGCCTGTGAGTCTCGGCGTCCTCCGTCCTGTCTGTCGGACGACCTGCCAGATTTGGAGCCAACGCCCTTGATCTCGAGACCGGAACCACCGCCGCTACGAGGGCCGGTGGGCGGGTTAAAGTCCCTGTCGACGGGGGTAGGCGGCTCTGCCGACTGCTTCCGGCTGCTGCGGTGACGGTGTTCCCGGTCCCTATGCTTGTCGCGCTTCCGATCCTTTTCGCGGTCGCGGTCCTTGCGGTCACGATCACGGTCATAGTTGCGATCACGTTCCCGATCCCGATCCCTATCTCTGTCCCGATCTCCCCGGTCACGGTCTCGGTCCCTCTCTTTGTGCGAGCGGTGGCTAGACTTTCTGTGGTAGTCGTCATAATCGTCGTCCCGGTGCTTGCTGTCCTTCTCTCGATCGCGACGCTTCTCGTCGCGGTCTCTGCGGCTCCTATGGCTAGATCGTTTCGAGTCACTAGGCGACGCCTCCCTGGACCTCTCTTCGTGCTGACCGTCGTCTCTGGACCGGGACTTGACGTCGTCTTCGTCATTGTATGAGGTGTGCTTTCTGCTCTTATGCTTCCTGCGACGATACTCATCGTCTCGATCGTCAACGACGGATCTCGATTCCGAGCGTCTGCGCCGGCGCCGGTGGCGATCGCCGCGATCGCGTTCCCGATCTCGGTCACCGCCGCCGCGCTCGCTCTTGCGCTCGCGGCTCTGGTCTCTGCTGCGTGAGGGTGAGCGTGAATAGTCTCGTTCTCTTACGCCATGGTCTCTCTCTGACCTGACGTCAGGTTCTCTCTCACGATCACGGCTCGCATCTCGGCGACGGCTCCTGTCCTTATCCTTGATGCGCGTCGACGAGTTGCTTCTGGATCGCTGCTGCTGCTGTTGCTGCTGTTGGTCCACGACGGGACTCTGAATTGCGAGTGCGTCCACCGACGATTGTCGGCCTCTCTCATCAGGGACAACGTATCCTCGCGCTCGCAAGGTGTGCAAACTTGTATTCGGCAGACCCTGACGCATAGCCTTGGGACCTGTCGGAGCATTTATAGGAACATCAGGGGCTGCAGGCGCGAATCCTGGAGGACCATATCCTCCCGACATGCCGTTCCCGTTGTACGCAGAGTAGTCACCGGATGCCTGTGCCATGTCTGTATTCATAGCGTTCTCCTGATCCGCTTGGCCTTGCTCGTCCTCGCCTTCGTCCGCAGGTCTGGACCCGTCACCGCCATCTGGGTTGTCGCCACCTCCTGCATTAGAAGTCGCATCTTGGCCATTTGGGCGCTCGCGGCCAAATTCGTCAACATTGCCTGCCGCACGGGTTCCATCCTCGGATCCCTGGCCCTGCATGTTGTTTCCATACTGTTGTTGCGCGTGGCCTTGGTCACCATAGCCGCCATACTGTTGGTATCCGCCTCGACCGTAGCCACCGTTGTAAAAGCCGCGTCCCCTTCCTCGTCCACGGTTGCCGTAATTGTTGCGGCGGTAATCATTGAATTGGTGACCATAATTACCTTGATTGTACCCTGACTGGAATCCTGAGTTATAGTTGCCATAGTCACCAGATCCCATGCCAGCAGCATTAGCAGAATTGAAATTATCTTGGCCGAAATTCCATGACTGTTGCCCGTTCCAGTTATTGGAGCCTGAGCCGAAACCACCGTTGAAGCCTCCCATGCCCATGCCTTGAGGACCATAGCCGCCGTTCATGTACATGTTCTGCATCGCCATTGGGTCCATACCCATTCCTGGCATACCTGGCAAGGTTAGTTTCGGCCGTTGACGGGCGAACATGGAGGGAGAGCTTACCCATCATTGGAAAGTTGCCAAACGAGTTGGAGCCCATGCCGTTCTGCATGGCCATCATCATCTGCATTTGGTTGAAGTCACCATTCCCAGTAAAGTTCATATTCTGAAAGTTGCCTCCGTTCATTCCGTTGAAGTTGGCGCTGCCGTTCGCATTCGCGTCGTCGCCCTCTGTGCCGTCGTTGTCGTCCGTAACGTCCTCCTCCTGCGGCCTCACTAATTTGCTGCCATCGGCCGCGGTCTCATCGCCAGTGATGATGACCGTCTCGTCATCGTCATCCTCTCCCTTAGAGAGGATTGGCTCTTCGTCGTGGTTGGGCGCATCCTAATCGATTGTGTTAGCAAAACGTCACACTGACAGGGTCGTCTTCGGAACACCAACGTTTTGGTCTTGTGCCGTAGTGGCGTCAGCATCCGCATCGTCAGTCGTGTTGGTTTCTAGGATTGGCTCGGGCTGGGCAACGGCGCTCTCTTCGCGTTCGTCGGAGACCACGGCGGGTTGCGGAGGTGTGTCGGCGGCAGGAGTCTCATCGAGGCCAGCGATCTGCGCATTCGGCTTCGCATCAATTGGAGTAGGAGGCGCAGAGTCCTTTGCCTGTTTTGATCGTGCTTCGTCACGCTTCTTCTCCTGGGTTCGAATAAAAACCTTGATCGTCGTTCGGAGTGACTTTAGCGGCGTGCAGTCGTCGGCGGATACGGGTGAATGCTCGCAAACGGGGCAGGATGAGGGCAGGGAACTTTGGCCTGGAAGGATCGGTCAGAAGCTGCATGCGGGAGCGAAAATGGGATTCGGGTGACTGACAAGTCTCGCAGATGGCTTGCTCGCAGCAGGGAAGACGGAATGCTTTGACGGCGGGTTTGCTACAGCTGGCGCATCGCAGCTTAATCGGAATGTCGTCGGGCGCAAGTGAGCTAGAGATGCCTGGTTAGCAATGCGATTGAGATGGATCGGCATCAAGAAACGGGCGCGAAAGACTTGCTTGATGAGCTCGACCTGGGCCGGGGTGAGGTGAACAGCCATGCTGTCGTCGTAATGGAGGAAAAGGAATATCAAGAAGAGAGATACATGGGCGAAGGAGGGGTGTGGGAAAGTACAACAACAAAAAATGGCCGCGTCGCCGTCGACCTGGTATTAGTATGAAGAAAGAGAAATGAGGACTGTTTCAGCGTGTCGCGCGAGACGCTGTCATGACGGACGGTTGCTTGTTGTTGAGCTTGTTTGCGCAAAGAAGCAGGTGGTCGTGAAAAAGATTCTGAAGTGACGGAGCAGTTTGAGGTGGACGAGGCGCGGGAAGGGCCAGAAAAAGAGTGGGACGCGTGGGCGGTGACTGACCAACCAGCTGCGCTGATTCACCTTCCCCGGCCTGCTGGTTTTACAGTGTTTTACAGCACCTTGCCTAGGTTCTCCGTACCTTTACGTTGGTCCGTAAGGTACCTACTTGATCCAGCCACCAGCGAAGTGGTGCATTACTCGCCCACTGGCCATACCTCCGCATACTTCACTTTTTTGGCAGCATGCATGGGGTGATGTAAATCGCAAGTCAAGATTACCACCGCATTGGTGAATCCAAACAGAACAAACGATGCCATAAGTATTCTTGAATGATGAGATTCCGTCTACATAATGCACTACGAAGCATCAGCTTCAAACTGACCCGCAATCCTTCCCAATGTCTTCTTCGCGAACTTTGCCAGCACAAGTAGGACCATTTTACACCACGACCATGACGGGGGAGTCGGCATGTAAAGTGGTGCAAAGCGACTGTGTCTGAATTTCGACTCATGACGAACTCTCCATTTACTGCCGGATGGACGCTCCCATAAATGAAACCCTATAGCAGAAATGCAGCGCATAAAAACTGATCGACTCCAAAATGATGAAGGGGGAGGTTGGAAAAACGGCCAAAAATAAAAAAGGAATCCCTCCTTTGCAAAACCAATAATCATCCTTTCTCGAGATGTTACACAAGCACGCAGTTTCCCCATTCTACAACTTTAACAGGCACAACCCTCCTTCGCCGCCGCATCCCTCGAGCCCGTGAGGTTGACCCGTTGCTGGTCCTCTGCGCCGCGGCTCACGGCGTGCGATGCGCCCGGACCCCGCGCGCTCTTCAACGACGTCTCGGGAATGGCGTTGGCGATGGCCGTGAAGACCTCGGTGACATTGTGGCCCGTCTTGGCACTGGTCTCGAAGAAGAGCAGGCTCTCCTCCTCGGCGTACGTCTTGGCCTCCTCTGTCGAAACCTTCCTAGCGTCGCCAGAGTCCTCTCCGTCGGCCTCCTCGTTATCGCCGGCGGATCCGGTCTCGGCGTCGTTTGTCAGATCGAGCTTGTTGCCGACGAGGGCGATGACGATGCCTGGCGAGGCCTGTCGTTGGAGTTCCGCCACCCAGTGCTTGGCCTTGACGAGTGACGTGGGCTTCGTGAGGTCGTAGACGACGAGGGCGGCCTGGGCGTTGCGATAGTACATGGGCGCCAGCGAGGCGAACCGCTCCTGGCCGGCGGTATCCCAGATCTCGAACTTGATCGTCCGGGTCGGTAGGTTGCACTTTTGTGTTAAGAAGGCGGCTGCAAGGGGGCGAGGAGTGGACAGGTTAGCTCTTTTTCGCTCTCAAACGGACTGGTCTCTGTCTGCGGATGGCAGCGGGCAGCGTTTCGTACCTCCGATGGTGGGCTCCTTATTCTCCTGGAAGTCGTTGTTGACGAAGCGCAATACAAGCGATGACTGCGATGCTATTTAGCAAGAAAGCTCTGATGCTGGGTTCGGATGGTGGCCGCACCTTTCCTACGGCAGCTTCACCGAGCAGGACCAGCTTGACGCTGCTGCTCGGCTTCGGGGCACCGCCGGATCCGTCCATCTTGTTCGGTAAGTCAGGTCGATAAAGACAGCTGTTCCAAGGGATTTGTTGCGATTTGAGCCGGTGGGTGAAATGATGTGAAGTTTCGGTTCGGATGGAATCAGGGACGCACGAAAGTTGTAAGTTGCTGCCTTCGCGATGGGTGTGTGGGTGGTAGGACGGTTTTCGTAGCGGTAGGTAGGACAGCAGCTCGGCCACTGAAACGAAGAGTGTGGTGAGGCGCAACAATGACGAAGCGCCCCCCGAAGAGCGCACCCGCCCCCCGGGCGCCGCTGGCCAATGCTCTCTCCCTCGCACCTCAGCTCCAGTGACCTGAGGTGAGTCCCTTGGAGGGGCGGCGGAGAATCAATGCGCCGGTGTTCCGTATCCCATGGGCGGGCCCCGCCAAGATTCCCACCCTGTGCAGGGGGGCCTTCAAACAGCGTGCAGCAGCTTGCTGGGCTAAGCGGCAGAAAAAAAAAAGTTGCTTGACCACCTTTGGGATCTTCAATTCTAGAGCGTCCATCCCGCGACTTGCAAGACTTCACTTTCTTCGCTGTCTCTTTCTTTTGACGAAGTGTTTTGCACCTACACTTCCTACCAGGGGAAGTAACTTTGTCAAAATGGCATCGGAAACCAAGAAGGAGAAGGCGCCCAAGAGGGTCAACCTTTTGGACGACAGCGACTCGGACAACGAAGATGGAGGGGCAGACATCGCGGCGCCAACGCTGAAGGTCAACGAGGAGTTCGCCAGGCGCTTCGAGCACAACAAAAAGCGTGAGGAGATGCACAGACGTAGGTCCAACTCAATTGATTGCTGTCGCTAGCAAGAGTGATGGCAGTATACTAACAGAAGGCTATATGCAGTTGAGGAAAAGTTCAAGAAACCCGGCAACGGCAAGCAGGCCGACGACGACTCTGACGGCGACTCATCCTCCTCGGACGAGACCGAAGATGAAGACGGCTTCCTCGCGACGGAGGACCTGGACGCCCAGATCTCCGCCACCCTCAACGCGATCAAGAACAAGGACCCTCGCGTCCTCGACAGCAACTTTTCCTTCTTCCAGGAGGGTGGCGAGGTCACGCCCGCCAAGACGAAGAAGGAGAAGCCCATGTTCCTCAAGGACTACCACCGTGAAAAGATCCTGGCCGGCGGCGTCGGCGCCTCGGACGACGAGGACGACGACGCGCCCCCGCAGACGTACAACCAGGAGCAGGACGCCCTCAAGAAGTCCATCATCTCGGAGATCAATAGGGCAGCCGACGGCGGCGCCGACGACGAGGACTTTGTCAAGCGGAAACCGGGACAAAAAGTCGCCAAGATGGAAGCAGACGGCCCCGCCGTCGACGGCGTGCACCCGGCCCGCGCAAAGCAGGTGAACAAGAAGACCAAGAAGCAAATCACCGAAGAAGACATCAAGAACGCCGACCGCGACCCGGAGCTCTTCCTCTCCAACTTCATGGCCGCCCGCGCCTGGACCGAGGGAGGCGAACACAACTGGAAGGCCTTTGACTCGGACGACGGCGAGGGCGACGACGGCGAGCTCTACGACAAGTTCGAGGCGGCCTACAACCTCCGCTTCGAGGACCCGGACAAGTCCAACGCCGCGCTCAAGACGTACTCGCGTGAAATTGTCAGCGCCCGCTCCGTTCGCAAAGAGGCCGCCACGTCGCGCCGCAAGCAGCGCGACGCCGAGAAGGAGAAGAAGGAGGCCGAGAAGGCGGAGCGCAAGGAAGAGAAGGCCAGGCTGCGCAAGCTTAAGCTCGAGGAGGCGGAGGAGAAGCTCAAGAAGATTAAGCACGCTGCCGGGTTGCGGGGCGAGGAGCTCAAAGACGACGAGTGGCTGCGTTTCCTGAATGATGCGTGGGACGACGATCGGTGGGAGAGCGAGATGAAGCGCCGGTTCGGCGAGGATTACTACGCCGAGGTCGAGGGCGTTGCTGCCGAGTCGGACGATGAGGAGGAGGAGGACGATGGCAAGAAGAAGAAGAGCAAGCCCAAGAAGCCCACGTGGGACGACGACATTGACATCAACGACATCATCCCCGACTTCAAGGACGACACGGAAAACCCCCAAATCACACTCTCCGACGATGAGGCCGGCGCAGCACCAGCACCAGCAGGCGACGATGCCGCGGACTCTGGTTCAGACGACTCCGACTCCCGCCCCTCCAAAAAGCGCAAAACACAAAAAGACTTGAAAAAAGACCGCCTCACCGCCAAAAAAGCATCCAAACTCCAACGCGCCAAACTCGAAGCCCTCGTCGACGCCAAAATGGACATCGACGCCGCCGCAGACTCCATCCCCGGCTCCGCCTCCCTCCACAAATCCGCCACCGAAGCCGCAGCCGCCAACGAAACCCCCGCCTTCCGCTACCGCGAAACATCCCCGCAAGCCTTTGGCATGACGGCGCGCGACATCCTCCTCGCGCCCTCGGACGCGGCGCTCAACAGCTTCGCGGGCCTCAAGAAGCTGGCCACCTTCCGCGACCAGGAGAAGAAGCGCAAAGACAAGAAGAGGTTGGGCAAGAAGGCGAGACTTCGGCAGTGGCGGCGGGAGCATTTCGGGGAGGAGTTTGAGAGGACGGGACCGACGTTCGGGTTGGAGGATGTGGAGGTCAAGGAGAAGAAGGGGCGCAAGAGGGGTGCGAAGCGCGCTGCGCAGGAGAAGCGTGATGGAGAAAAGGGAGAGGAGGAGGATGTCGAGGATGGTGGTGCTGCGCTTGATGGTGGGAAGAAGCGGAAGAGGTCTAGGGGGAAGAAGAAGGCTGATGAGGGCGTCGTCGCTGCGGAGGAGTAGAAAATGAGAGAAGAAGAAGGAGAAGCTTATAGTGTGACACGCTTTTCTTGTCAGTTGTTGTTTGCTTCGTTCGGGTACCAAAAAAAGTAGTTCATTTAGACCTAAACGATACCATGTACAGGTTTTGGTTTTCCGGTTGTAAAAAAAAAGTCACTTTGTGAGGGAGTGAAAAAAAGAGACATTCAAAATAATTGCAGATATTTCTTTCATATTTTGCATTAAGAATTTTGGTGGTGGTATCTCACAAGAATGAAATGTTCAGGAAATCGCTAAGCTACAAAAACACGCGAGATTGTCTCCTTTTTCCCCACGTCCATGTTCCATGCCATCCCATGCCATCCCATGCCATCCGTCTTTTTTCCCATCATATATGTCGTTAACTTGGAGAGAGGAAGATCATATGGAGAAGAAGTTCTCCGAGGCAGATGTGCAATGCAAAGTTAATACAATGCTCAGGGGCACAAACACTCCTGGCGACGACACACTTCATCCGAGCTCATCGTGCTCCGTGATGCAAGCCACTGCCAAACATGTTGCCGAACCCGTCAATATTCATGCCCATGTCCTGCCCAATTTCGGGCGGCTCCATGTTAAAGGGCATGAACCACGCCGTCGACGCCTCCTGGCCTCCAAACCCCATGCCGTCTCCGTGTCCGTGGCCGGGCCCGCCCATGCCGTTGGGACCGCCGCGCGATGGACGCGAGCGGGCGCCTTCTCTGTGCGCTCCTCCCGGTGCGCTGTGGGCGCTACTGGGCATGCCGTCCCAGTCGATGCCGTCAAAGTGGCTCATGTTGCCCTGTTCCATAGAGTACCCGCCAAACACGAGCTGCCGGTCCAGGGGTTGCAAAATGCCGTTCTGTTGGTTCATCGACATGTTGAGCAAGTCGGGAGAGAAGAATGACGTAGTGCCCGGGTGGTGGTGCCCGTACTGGCTGACGGCAATGGGACTGATGGGAGATAGGGCGTGGTAGTTGGAACCCTGCGAATGTGGCACGGTGAGCGGGTTGAAGCTGGTCGGCCCGCTGGTCTGGCCGCCAAGCGAGCCCTGCTGCATGCCTCTTTGTTGTTGCATGCGGGCGCTAAGTTGCTCTTGCGCCGTGGCAGCAATGTTCTCGGTGGAAAGGGGTTCCAGCTGGCTTCCATCTGCTCTGATGCCCGGAGTACCGAGTTTCTTGCCGACAAAAGACTTGCGTTTAAGCGGGTTGGGCCTGGACGAATTGCCTTCTGTGCTGCGCGGTGGCGACAAACTCGTAAAGTATTCCTCCACGGTGTGCAATTCCGGTTTCTGCTCCAACACAGCGTCGTCGCCCTTCTCCTTCTTCTTCGTAGATGCCGGGTCGGAAAAATCGGATTGGGAAACACCGTGGGGGTATCGGTCGAACCAGTCGCCGTACTGGAAGATGGGGGAAGCCGTTGACGTCTCCTTTGTCGAGTTGCCTTGTCTGGCGGCGTCGGCGTATGTCCGGTATTGCTCACGCAGGTTCTCCGACATGTAGTGGAACATGCCCCAATACCTCTTCATCTTTGAAAGGAACTTGACATTCGTCGCCAGGTTTCGTTTCGATGTTGCCTCAACGGCAGGATTGCCAGAGAAGATGCCGAGTATGTGGATCGTTCCAGACGAAAAGGCGCAATAGCCGACAAAGGGGGCAGTCACCATATGAGACTCGGCGTCTTTGAGAACCTCGGAAATCCTGTTGGCGGCTGCAAACGTCTTGTCGCCTGCCTTGGCGACAAATTCCCGAGGAACGCCTTGGGCAGCGGGGCTGTTTGGCGTTGAAACGGCAACTCGGTTGAGGAACAGGACGTTTTGTTGCATCGCGATGTGGAGGAACAGGAATTGATTGGCCATCTTTTCCGTGTCGTGGAGCGCCACGTTCTCTGGGGAGTAGCGGAGGAATTCTGGAAGGTTATCGAGCAAATCTTCAGACTGCTGCAGCAGCTTGGTGTATTCGGATTCTGGGCTCCAGATGGGATTAGGGTCGAGCTCCTTTCCTCCTTGGTTCAAATAGTTGATGACCCTGCCCCAGAGAGCGATGGTCTTGATCATGTGAGCCGCAACGCCCATGTTCTCTTTGGCATCGGCCATTTGGCCATCCTCGGCAGACACGGGATGAGGGACCTTTCCATTGAGGGTTTCCGTTGGCGCTGGCATGTCGAGCTGGAAATATTTTTCTTTGATCGGTAGAGGAATTTCAATCGTCTCTTCCCTCACAAAGGTTGGTCGTTCGGTACCGGAGGAGTTGAACCGGTCCATGAGGAAACATGCCCACATTGTCCGGCGTCGGATCTCGCGGTCAATAAAACTCAGCTGCGATGCTCCGCTGCGGTTCAGGGGGTCGTGGTCTAAATCTTTGTGAAGTTGTAGAGCAAACGCCATGCGGATTGCTTGGCCTCCGAGAGCCCAGCTCCTACCGCCATGGCAAGTACCAAATTCGTGCAGGCCGAGGATAAGTAGACATGTTAGTATCGTGATGTTCGGCCACTCATACCGCCTGGTGCAGATATCCCGGGCGTGTGACGCCCACTCTTCTCCGCGAAGAAAGTTTGGTGAAGAGTTGTTGAGTTTCGGGTGGCTGGAAAAGCGGGCGGCTACGGCGCAAACAGACAGTATGAGTACTGGCGGAAGAGTGCCAGCTCTGCATTCTCAAAGTAAGCATTTACTCAGTAGATTACTCTCATAAGAGAAACAAACGTACCTGAGTTTCCTCATGTAGCTGGGCTTGTGGAGCAGGTGGTATGCTTGGCCGTAAATGTTCTCGAAAAATACCTCGGCTAAATGTTCCTGAATCTCCTTGGACGGAAGTGCATCGAGCCCCTCGAGGAAGAGCTTATTCTCCTCCGCTTCCTGCGCTTGCAACGACAAGTTCTTATTCGGCGTGTCAATTCTCGTCTTGGCCGGCGCTTTTGCCCAGTGGTCGAGATCCTGGCCAAATGCTTCGTCGGCAACTCGCTTCTTGGAGTTGGCCTTAGCCGCGGGGAGGGTTCCCGGAATTGCCGGTTTAACCACGGCGCGGGTCAGCGAAACCGCATTGGAGTCTTGTTCGTTTTTCGGCACAATCTTGATGATGCGTTCCTCCATGCGCTTCAGTCGCTTATCCAACATGGCCATGTAGTCGGTCCTCGGCGCAGCTTTTCTGGTCGTCACCTTGTACACGCAGGGAATCCTTGATCGAAGGCAATGCTTGCACGCCGGCTTTTCTCCCGAACATCGAATCTTTTTACGTCGGCATGCGATGCACGCTAAAGGAAGTCGCTTTCGTTCTTTACCGGCCTTGGTCTTCAACTCGCTCCAAGCGGGCGTCTGGTCTGTCTTGTCGTCCTTGGATTTCCCGCCTAGGTCGGACCCGTTGCCGGCGATTTGCGTAGGTAGGCCAAACTCGTCGGCACCGGCATCCTCGAGTGGGTTGTGCTCGGCGTGGCCGCTGTCCTGGCTGCCATCTTCCGAAGTTATGATACTATGGCGTCGCTGGTTCATGGCGTTCCCAAAGCCGACAGGCATGACTGTTATTGAGTTTTGGCGACCATCGATGGAGGAGACGGAGGGGCGATGCGAGGTCGGGAACATATCGGCAGCGTGATCTGGTTCGCCGAGGAACATCATTGCGTTTTGGTCGTCCAGCGGGTTGGGAGGGAAAGAAAAGTCGTCGGCAAAGTGGGAAGCATCGACGACGCTGTGGTTCGCGCTGGTGGACCGCATACCGTCATTTGGGGTTCCTGAGGAGAAGGGTTGGTGGGATGCTGAGGAAGTGGTTATATGAGAATGAGCGCCGGGCGAGTCGAGGGCGCGGGCGTGAGCGTGAGCGTGCGGGTATTGCTGCGAATATTCGAGACTGACAGCTCTGAGTTGTTGGCTTTGGAGCTGCTGCAGGCTAGATGACATTGTCCTTTGTCATGCACGAATCAAGGGAAAGATCAACGAAGAGGCGACAGTGGAAGAAGACGGTGCCGAGCGAGCTGGCAAGCTGGCTCCCCGCACAACGCCGGCGCTGAGGACGGCGTTCGTCCCTGTCCCTGTTTATGCCTTTGGGCCGCGGTCACCAGTGTAAGTGTGAGTTGGAGCAGTGGGGGGAGGGTCACAGCGGTCGCAAGGAAGAGGCAGTAGGCGGCGGGAAGACTCGGTGATGACTGATGTTAATGTTGAAGGCCGAGGAAGAAGCAATCCGGTCGCGTGCCTACGTCTTGGCCGTCGATGATGATGATGTTCTCGTCCCGTCTAGTGTTCTCGAAAGAATAAGAAGAGGAATGTTCCACAAAGCTGGTGACAGTAGCACAAAGTTAAGAAAGAACCGGGACTTGATGGGTGGGCGGGGGGCGGAGAGGAGAAGAGGCGTCCAGTCGAGAATTGTCGGAGAAGAGGAACTCTGACTTGGCCACTCATTGAGCAGCAAATAAAGAATAAGAGAATAGGTAACCCGTAGGACGAAAAAAAAAAAAAAACCCTCCTACCAGAGACACGTAAGGGGGGCGCAAGACTGGGTCTAGGTCAAGGTCAAGGTCCAGGTCTAGGTGGTCATGAGAAAAAAAACCAAACCGAACCAAACCAAACCAGCAACCAGCGGAGCAGATTTGTGATGCTCACTGTCCAGAGAGGAGAAAGATGGGTGATGGGGAATGTCGCCGGCTTGTTCGTGCAGCAAAAACTGGGGTTGGGGAGGGACGGCCAGCCGGGGAGGGGGGTCGTACAGAGAATGGAAGGAATGAAAGGGGGGGTGTGGTAATCGGCGACCTGTGATTGCTTGGGAGGGCCGCGGATGCACCAATCCAAGTGGGCGCAGCTGTGGAGTTGCAGCTTGCGCCAGGCGTGGGGAGGCGTGCACGGCGTGCAAGTGGGAGAGTTGGAGACTTTTCCCACACTTCTTCTCAGCACCGCACCGTCAACTTGCAGGGCTCAAGCAACCTAGGGAATGGATTCGGAAGCGTTTTCGGCGGCTAAATTGTGGGGTATCGTGGGTGCGTGGGTTGCTGTGCTGGAACACGGCCGGGGGGAGTTAGGCGGGTGACGCCGTGACGCACGGAGAGGTCACTTGGGATGTGCGTCTGTCGTCTGCGTCTGCTTCTGCTTCTGCTTCTGCTTCTGCGTCGTCTACGGATGCGCCTGCGATTTCTTTAGTATCCGTACTTGGTTCTGCGAAGTGCACAGTCAATGTAGCCAAGGTGCTCTCTGTAGACCCGGTAAGTGCCGCACTCACTCACCCTCAATTGTCTCTCTCCCTATCCTGAAATATTTCGCATACGATGATAACTTTCGGCCGTTTTCAACGGACTCAACAGCGCAAGCCTTGCTGGCTATTCTTGTCTCTCTCATTCGCAGCAAATAAGGTTCTGCTGCTGTTGCTCCTCCTGGAATCTCGTCAGGAGATGTCTCCTGGGCCTATTGCTTGTTGATGCTGACAGAATACTCACACCGGTGCTGACTGTTCCAACAATGGGGTCTCAGGCACATGGCCCACGGAAAAGAATAAAGTGATCCCCGTCGTCCTCCGTGGTGGGGCTGTGTGCATGTCTCTCCAGGTTTGGATGTGGACTCTCTTGCCTCGTCTCGTGATGTCCAGATGAGGGACCAGATGCCCAGAAACCTTATGTACACAGTAAGGTAACCCAACCGCAGACGGGGGTATCGCTACAAAGTACGAAAACCAACTCTCTATGGCAACTCTCACCGGAGGATGAGTGTGCGTGTAGCTAGTTGGTCCAATCGCGCTTCGTGATTCAGGTTGATTGATAGGTTAGGTATTGTTGTCTTCTTCGTGGCTTATCGGGCTGCCCAGGTGTGGTGTTGCTGTGGAATTGCGATGTGGAAAGTACGGAGTACTTTTGCCATGTATCAGCACTAGAGGCTTGGGGTGGCTGTGGCTTTGACCGTGGAGAGAATTGTTCCGCCCTTTCACAACTGAGACTCAGTGTTGGCTTGGATCAAGTCGAAAAGGCGAGCTAGTACAATCGAGAACAATAAACTGCAGAAGTGTGACGTGTGTAAAGATGTGCGGGCGATGCCTCCGAGATCTGCCAAGCTTTTCCGAGCGCGCAGGAGGAATCCGTCATGCCGTACAGAGAAGGTACCCGTTCCAACCCAATTGAGAGAGGGCGTAGGGCTTTATAACAATGGTTCGGAGTATGGAAAGAGAAGCTGCATACTAATCAGAAAGGTACAACTGCAGAGGCAGGGTCAACTTCATCGAGATACAACAGTGCCTGACATGGTGTAAACATCATACAGCCAGAAATGAACTTCACTTACAAACCACAAAACACCTACTCCATACACTGCCAGCATCAACAAGCCCAGTCCCTGCAGCCCGACTCAAGTGTCTCGTACGTCCACATGCCTGTATGGAAAGGAGACGGTTTGGAAGCCCCGGCAGCGTGAACAGAACAAATGTGGGAGATAGACCGAGGTTCCATATCGAGGTCAGACATTTTTGCCAGATATGAAGGGTGCGCGGCAACAAAAAAAGAAAGGCACAACCCAGCTCGTCTTTTCCAAAGTAAAGACACGCCCACCAACATGGTGATACCTGAGAGATAGACTTCCAGCATGAAGTCCCTGGAGTCGACCTGAACGTTACATTCAGCGGCCCAACGACAAACATGCTGCGTTGTATGGTTGATACCTCGATTCACTGCAGCCAACGAACGTATCGGCTGTGTCCGTAGTCCATTGGACTCAACGTCCACGGCCAGAGACAATTGATATCATTGAGCTGGTTGCGATCCGCGTAAGCACACTTGTCGGACCGCGTTCGGACAGCAATTGTTCTTGCACTCGCATCTTCGGCCATGGATAGACCACAAATGATCCTTGCGTCTCTCCAGATAAGTCAATCCAGACACTGCTAAAGTCTTCGCTGGTTGACTTCTCGCCGGCTCTGGCCTAGCACTCGTAGCTAAGTGGCTAACTAGGGTTGCCCCTTGAATTTTGCTGGTGACCGCTGCAGATGAAAGGTTCTCCAGTGCCATCCTGGCTCAAGACCCACGATGGCAGTGCGAACAGATGTGGATGCCTCCACCACCGAAAGGTGGGTGGGAGCCGGGGGCACTGGATATCCACACTAGAATGTGGGACCACGAAGTCGAAGGGGGCCCCTGGAGCACGCGCCTAATCAGGGATGAATCGGGGGGATCAAGTGGGAGAGCCGGAAGCCTAGTGGATCCGCAACCAGAGGCAACTTCCGAGACTCTCCCGGTGCGAGTGGGTACCTATGCTCCGTGTCCAGACCAAGATACTACCGCAGTAGAGTACGGAGTACGAGGATACCATGAGATTCTGGTGAGCCGTTGATATTGATCAATTTCTATTGAGTGTAAAGACGTGGGTATCGAATTAGATCAAAGGAGACCGAGTTCGACTGCGCACCCCTCTGTGGTGTGGCATATATCGTCAAGGTGCGCGGACGGGGAATAAACGTTCCGAGTGCCAAGCGTGTGTAGAATTCAGAGGTCCGCCGTTGCATTTGGTGGCATGCCGTGGCTATCGGTTTGGTATGGGTATTACAGCCGCATTCCAGCATCGAGCTAGGGAAAACACCAATGTTTGGCGAAGAAACGGATAGTAATTCGCCGTTCTATGAATGGTGCATCAACGGTATCGCAAACACCATCTCATCCTACGAGGTGTTAGCAGGTGACCTTGCGGCCATGTGTGTGTACGCCGCAGAGACGCATTCCAAGAGGGATCATGAAAGGTGGTTGGCCGCCTGCGGCTGATCCCCTGTAACCCTACTACGGTACCACCGTGTTTGGGGCCTCAGATATGTGGTGGAATCTCACCCTCGTCACGTCAGTGTCTACACCGTTGCTTGTGTTGCATCTCTGAACAAAGTGCCAAAGAAGGCCGCCGTCAACCTGCCATGGCCTACCTAGGTAGTCGGCCGTGAGTTCCACCAGGAACGGTCACAGCAGGGCGGCAGCCGCCAAGGGACCCCGGAGACGGACCAGGAGCCAGCACTGCAGGCTTGCATCGGTTTGGCCATGATCCGTGTTTGTTCGGGCTGGCCCAGACCACCCTGCAGCCCTGGTGCCTCGCCTGCTGCAGATTCACAGTCAAGTGTGGTGGATTTTTGTCGACGACGACCGGATCTGTACGGGATGGCGCCCCGATTGCGACCCCTGTAGCCAGTACTTCTTGTTTGGACAAGACTTGAAGTGAACTCTGACGAGATCTGGCGGAGGGGGGAAAAGTACGAAGCCTCTGGAGAGCCACTAGCTCGGGTTTCAGCGGCGCCAACGAAATGGGGCGTACGGATAGCTAAGCGTAGGTAGGCGCGCAGGCAAATCACCTCGGCCTGGTCGTTTGGTTTGGCCGAAGTTGGATCGTGGGACTAGCACATTGAGGCATACTGCGACCTCGAAACGTAGCATCTGAGAGACCCCCGTACATGATTGCTTGGTTCTTCTTTCGACGTATGTATTCGTACCCAGCATTGTTGGGTTTGAATATCGGGATTCGAGAAGGGACCCCCAAGGGCGATCTTCTGGATGGCCGGTGGCTCAGATGATGTAAAGGACGTCATTCGGCTGAACGAGGAATGGGGTAGCTTCAGTCCTCCATCCCAAAGTCCTGTGTACGGTTACGACTGGTTAATGTTACCAGCGCTTTGAGATATGGACCCCCCGGGCAAGTGGGAAGAAAGGATACATAGAAGTTCTGATGGCTTTGAGCTGAAGAACTGCTTGGGCCTGAGCCAACGAGGGCGAGGATGAGGCGTACCGATTTCATCAGAGTGGCGGATCATCTGGAGCGGTCGAAATTCGGGGTTGACAAGACAAGTTGGAGAAGAGGACCGGATGGGGATGGAGCAGGTAGATCGTGATAATGTCTGAGCGCTGATAGGAGGGAAGGGTTTTGGTGGAGGGTTGTGAGGGTTGGGGGTGTCTGTTCCGTCTGTCTGCACGACAGCGAGGAAGTGGTGGGAGTGGGAGTGGGAGTCGAAGTGTGGAGGACAGATGCTAGCAGAGCAGAGCCCAATTGGAAGGACCCACCGAAGCTGTCCCCTCCATGCCCCTCCCCCCTCTTGTTTTGGGAAAGGACGCTGTGGCTGGCACGGCTGGTAGTCGAAACGCAATGCACGATTTACAAATTGGGGCTTGATTATTGTTGCTGATGTAAGAGACGCCATGTGGAGAGTCAAAGGCGTGTCTACATACACTATGAGTAGCATAGGTACATAGAGGTCGGCCTGGGCTGTGACGGTGTAGGCTGTCTTGACTTCCAAAGCGCAGCTTGCTCGCATTGTTTCCGTTCCTCGTGGAAAGCACGAAGGGACCTGGCAACACAAAGAAGACGGCGTGGACGGGAAGCCACGCATGCCAAGATTACAGTTCTGAGACCTCCACGTTCAGCAGTCCCGGGAGAAAGGTCAACAATTCAGGAACAGGCTCAGATTCAAGTCTAGCGGAAGCTCTTGCTTGGTACTCCTTACACTCCTTTTGATCTCAACGGCACTTGGAATCCGCATGACCCTACCATTCATCAATCGAGGTCAATATTAAACGGTACTATACAGATCCCCCATAGGTCGATGAAAACAAGCTCTTCATTTGCAAAGCTCCGCGATACTGCAGCAGTGCTAGGATACGGTACCCACAGGTCCTGAAGATCACTACGGATAATAAGCTGCCGCAGACACTAACACGAATTCCTCAAGCCACACGATCAGTGAGTGATCAACAGTGGCGTATCTGGAGATGACCACCTTCAACTTGAGCTCTGGCTTGTGCTTTGTGCCCTGACCCCAGCAGAAGCCACTTTCTGTACTACGGAACTGGCCCCGGCAAGAGAGAAGCACGATGTGGTTCGGGGTTCGAGGCTCGGGGACCATTCCGGGCTCTATCACCAGACGTGGTAAAGTCTCTTGAGCTACAGCTCAACGGCGCAATTACGTGACGCTGCCAAACTAGTCAACCGCGCAAGCTATCAAGCCATCAAAACCTTGGGCTATCTAATTCAATGTCATGGCTTTGCGGCTGTAGAAGCTCCGGATTGATAGGCAGGAATTTCCGCTTCGACATTCCATGTCGGCGATAGGATTTAATTGAAGGGTTTTTGTTGACATCATCTCGAGGCTGGAAGTAACCAAGCACCCAAGGTCTTGATGACTGTCGACGTTGGACGTCTCTCAAACAGGTACCTTTCGGTACATTCTCCTAAACTATCGCTTTGTCCTAAATGTCGGCCAAATATCAAAAAATCGTTCGAGTTCCATTGTTCAAGGTAGACTAGTACTCGGGGCAGGCATAGCCAATACCACCTCATTCGACGGTCGATGATTGACCAGTCCACAGGACCAGGGGCTGCAGCGAGATCGAAACGAAGCACGCTTAATTCCTTCCTCCACAAAGTGACTATTCAAAAATCATTCCCCCGTGAGCACAGAGGGACCGAACCCACCTGACTTATCTTGGTTTACAGCATTCTGTGCTTGGCATTTTAGATAAAGGTACTTTGTTTGGTACGTGCAGAGAACCATTCGAGGGAAAGAGTGCCTCCGACAAGCTGACGGAAGGTGGTGTTCACATTACCCCAACCCGTCCGTCCCTCCTTCCCAACCTTCCTTGGAACGTCCTCTTAAGCATGTCGTTGAAGACTTATATAATGCAAGTCGTTTCTTCTAACGTTAGAGTCTACCTAGACAGCGAGGCAGTCACATTGCCCAAGGTACCTTACCTTGCAAGCTTTCCATCTGATGCCTTGGGACAGCTCATGTCCAAAGTATCTGGATGCTCTTACTCGGGCATTGGCACCTCCTAGGTCACTCGCATTCCGACCTTCAAGGTCCGCTAGAACGACGCGGCTCATGTTTCTCCAGCTCCGGCTTGTGGAATTCCGACCTAAACGATTGATGTTAGCAGTTAGAGGCAAATCATGTTCCACATTTCCTGCCTTAGTGTGCCCGGGCCTCAGATGAGCTGCATTCACATGGCGACTTCCCTACATGCGTGGATGCGTGGCTTACTTACCCACTTCAACCTCAACCTAAATTACTCCGTACGCAACATCTTGGGCTGCAAGATCATCATCGCCCAGCGTCAACGATTCGTCTGCCGGCTTTTCTCCACATCAGCCTCCTGAACATCTCTTCTCTCATCGACTGTATCTCGACTTCTCCTTCACGGCCCCGCTCCAGCCTTGCTTTGACTGACGACGGGAATCGATTTTGTCTTCCCCTCCAAAAACTACAATCTACGATACAAATATAGGAACGGTCCAAACCCTCCCACCATGTTGGCGACTACATCCCTGGCGGAGCCCCTGAACGACAATCTAGCTGGTCCATGACGCCGTCTTGGATCGACTTGTCTAGAAGACTTTGACACGCCGCCAACCAGACCATCAAATGTCAGTCGCAACAGGAGTGGGAACCGCCGTTGACACGCCACGCCGCGCCCACCTATTCTTAACTTCGTTCTAAGTCCCCTTCGAGAAAGGCCGACTTCAGATGAGAGCTGGAGCCCAATCATGCCCTTCCACCACCGAAAGCTTCCCAGGATCGACGCTTTCTCAACCTCATCAGCGTCGAGGCGGCACGACTGCACTGGGATTGCCCCCAGAGTCACTCCGGTTTCATACCCACCCTCCGTGCTTGAGACCTGCCTTAACGCTATTTTGTTAAGCCCCCCATCCCTCCCCGGAAACCCCTGACGACTTCCATGGTTGTCTTCTTCATCCTCCTCCCGGCGATGACGACTTGCTGATGCGGCCTGTCTTCAGAAATCGCGCCTTCTAGGCGGTGCTGCTGAGACCTCTAGATCCCGCGCGATGCCAGCTGCTTGGTGCCAGCAAATGGTTTGGATTGGACGGAACAGAGTCAAACAAGACATCCTATCCCAGGCAAGTACACGACCTCTTCTCGTTCTTATTCCGTCGTTCTAATGTATCATCACCAATACCGGCGCTCCCGGCGCTGATACAGAGTACCAGCCGGGTTGTTGAACCCCAGAGTCACCACAATTCGCCCGAGTTTTAATGACATTTGTCGACCAGAGAAGCCAACTGCGAAGATGTCTCGCATCCTCTTACAGGATTGCCCGGTTTGTGACAAGCCCTATGCTTGCTCACCTGTCACCGTCGTCCGTCATGACGGAGGGCTAGCGGCGCGGCGACAAACTCTCGTCGACGTCGTATCCATAGGCATTACAACCTTGCTCTGGCTTACCCAAGCTGCCAACCCTTACAGATACAGGCTGAACCATGGTGGTACTCCTCTACTCTGTACTTCTCACTGTAGTCAACGGACAACTCATCAGGTCAACAACACTCCGAGACTACGAGCGGTTTTTACTTGGCATATTCGTGTGCCATCTGCCCGCACCCCCTCCTTCGAGGTGACATTGTTGATTTTATCAGAGAAAACAGTCACTTACCTCGGAACTTTTCTCGCAAATCCCATCTCGTTGCGTAGCGGACGGGTACGGGTACATTGCACACATCCCCCGCGCGCCCCAGTCTCTGCCTTTCCCCGACCGCCCTGCTCCTTGTCGATGCTTGGGTACGGTCATGACGGGAACTGGCTATGCAATCTGCGTGATGTCGGCAAGAAAGGCTCATCAATCAAGGATGCAACAGCCTGCGTAGTCACGTATGGATCGAGCGATGTAAGCATACATGCAAGCCCGTTCTTCTCCATGAACCCCCGCCGGATGATCTCCATCGCCTCCCCCCTTCCTGACACCTCACAAAGGGACAATCATCAAACCCTTGTCATGCTTATTCGCGATGCCTCTACTGCGAGCAACCATGGCTGGCCAGTCTTTTCATTTGCGCCCTGGTGGACCCTTTGCCATTACTGATGAACCCTGTTGCTCAGGAACAACGCAGCGCAACCGAGCTTCCTCGCAGCCGACGAAGGATATTGAGCTGTATTAGCCTGTGAGTAGACAAGCTTTGGTAGAGGAAGGGCGTCTGCCGGTCGCCCGGCTGCCGCCGACCTCGACCCGACGTTGTAAACGTGCCAGCGAAAGCCAGATTGGCGCATTCTTCCGAGAGTATACGGCACGCGATAAATCAGGCGTGGTGTATCGAATTGTGTAACACGGACCGACATGCTTGGTGTTCGGGACAAGCTACTACGGAGTGCCCACGCGGCTGCCTCATGGCTGCCAAAAGGGGTCGGCGTGTGTGCCACGTAGGCCTTCACGAACTTTCGCTTCGGGTCACATTGCGAATTTAGACAGCTTTGGGCCGAGCGTACCGCAGAAGGAGAAAAACTGCTCAGGCGTAACGTAACACGTACATCTTGCGGATCGATGCAGCTGTCAAACACGAGGATGAAGCAGATTATTTGGCTCGAGGCAGAGTGTTTGGGCTCGATCAGCCAAGTATACGCCTCGAAAGAGACACATGGAGTTGAGGTAAAGGAGTCTCTACCATTCGCTTACATAGTAGACAGGGGACGAATAGGAAGTACATAGGGCCTTGCAGCTGTGATGGATGGGCAACCGTTGCAAATGCCCTATCCGTCGTATAGGTGTTCCTCATAGGCGGCCGTTGCCCACCGTTTGCGATCCCGCATGATATTGACTTTGGAAGACGGGACGATCTCAGCTCCGGAGACCAAATGTGGTCCCCGACGGACAACATGTTCAGGACCGCATCCCGTCAGACTCTGAGCAGCAAGCAACGTTAAGCACGTACATACTGAAGGCGCAGACGACGCGTAGGAACGACGGAGTGATTATGTCTTTCCACAATGTCGTCGTCGGCGGAACCCACAACAAATTGTCTGCCATGAGACCTCGTTAGCGTCGACGTTGCTCGGTTGTGCGCAGCTAGACAGGGCGAAGTTTGAAGAGCACAGATTCAAAAGCGTGAGAAGGTCCAGAAGGGCAAAGATGCCTTGGAAAGTGAGGCCCTAGCTGGCCTTACTAAGGCCTTACCGATGATCCCAAACGGTCTTCGTCCCGGAACCTAATAATTAATATAGCTAACCTAGAAAACAGTCACTCGCCATTGGTTTCCTCAGCTCGCCCTACCAGTAGACGCAATACACTACAAGGAATGCAATGGCACTAACGGCGCGTCTTCTCGGTGCAATCTGGAGTGTTCAAGCGTGCACCTGCCGCCCGGTGATCCGGCCGCTCGACGGAAGAATCCACTCCTCACCCTTATTACTGGCGAATTATCATCGCGGCTCCCTGTCGGCACCGTGCCTTTCCTTTACCTGCCTAGGTGGGTGCCTTAGCTAACCGTGAGGTAAGGACACAGGTAAGGATATGCGACGTTTCGACACCAGCCTGGGAAACAGACTTTTATTACACGCCCCCTTTTTCACGTACCTCCGTATATCCCACCCCTCCCGGGGATGTACTCCACTCTCCCCATCCGATTCCCTGACATTCCCATTTTTCTCCCGCGCAAGCCCCCCCGTCAATCAATCCCAGCGGATCCACCTCCGTTCGCACGTCCAAAGATACGACTGGCTCTTCACATTAACGCCACAACCACGGCCCTACGCCTCGATCTACACTACTAAGGACGAGAGACAAGGCTCCGAATCCCTCCTTGCTGCTCGGGCTGATGGGCTGAAGGAAGGAAGGGGTTGACAGGCGTGGCAGGCTTCGGAGGGAGGCGGAGACGAAGCAAGGCGACTGGTTCTTCAAGTCTCACAAAGATGGACGCCAGGCCACCAACTTTCCTCCGCAGCCTTGCCTGTAGCCGCAGCCGTTCGGTCTTGAATCCGAAGAGGGCTAGCTAAGATCGCCCGACGGATGAGTTTAGATAATGTTCAAATCACAGTGAGACTAGACAGGACCAGGAGGGCTTGTTGCTAATTTTTGACCAGAACGCCTTTTTCTTCCCATCCGCTATCTTGACGTTCTCCTTTGGGAACGAACGTCCCACGCGCTTCAAGAGTTACAGGCGTAGGCGACGCACAGATGCGTTCTTCCGTATGCGTACATCCTCTTCATCTCTCTGCCCACATATCACGGCCACGCCGTTAGACGTGCCTGTCGTACTAGGCTCGGAATGCAGGGCCTTGGGGCCGCGGCAGCCTATGGAAGGCCTCATCTCATCATTACGAGCCTCGATGCGAGGCTCAACCGTGTCTCCCCCTTATGGACCATACTGATGTTGATATAGCATCCATCGCGAAGCTCCCGCGTCTGCCCAAGCGGCAGCATCGCCCCCCGAGATCCAACCCGCGTACTCCGTACTGTGTGTCTCTCATCGGCCCGTCTGCAACTTCATCTCGCGACCACGTCTTCGCAGGGGTTGTGTTGTCCAAGGGACGAGCTTTTGTCTCCGTGGATAGAGCGAGCGCTCGCGTTTCCCGGTCGCTATTCGGAGAGGCCACCCTTCCAGGAGGGTTGGACAGGATCTCTTTCAGGAAACCAATGGCGAGACAAGACGGATCAACGAACCCCTTAATGCTCGATATTTGGACGTCCTCGTCCACGTCACTCCTTGGAGTGCGTACCAGTCACCAAACAAGCAAAGTCCGAGGGATGTCCGTTGTTTCTGTAGACAGGAATAGAGTCGTCGGTGTAGAGGTTCACTCTCTGGATCACCCAATAACAGGATCAGACAGGACTCTCTCTCCTCTCTCATCCGACATCGTCGTTGCTGCACTGACGGTGGAGGCATCACATCCGGTCGTGGTTCCCACCCACCACCCACCACTTGCGCATCTCATCTGCAAACCAGGCAGGAACAGAAGCGGGAATCTCGGCCGTTCCGTCTCGTCAGGTTTGGAGATGGGACATAGCCCCCTTTCGGTATCAACTCATCTGTAGCAGAGCATATTCGATGACATGTATACACACCACCACCATCACAGATCCCAAGATCTGGCTTCCCATCGCGGATCTAGAGTTAAGAATAGAACCTCCGAATCCATTCGGTCATCCCGTCTTCCCGATCCAGTTTCTTGGGACGCAACTTCTGTGAGACCAAAAGGGAAAACATCCAATCGTTGAACGTGGTCGAGCATGAGCAGTGAGTGTTTGACACACACGCGAGCCCTTCCATCTTCACGATCCCCGCCTTTGCGTAGTTCGTAGTGGACGATGCTATAGATATCCGACGCTCATTACCCCCTATTCCTATCGAAGCATCGTCTAGGTACATCCAACGAGGCCGGGCAATCAGCCAGCCTCCTTCGGTTCTCTCTCGGAATTGTCTACGTCTACGTTAGTTCTTCATCTTGCTTCTTGGTATCGAAGTCGTCAAACGGCAAAAGAGTTCCCGTGGATCTGGTTCGCCAATGCATCCAAACGACGGACGAAAATAGTAAACAGCACGTTGTCCATCTCACATTTTCCTCTCCATTCCTTTCTCACTTTCCCCCCCCTCCTTATTCCACGGGAACGCATTCAGGGGCTATGAGAATTTGATCTTGTTATCCCGGACCGTGGATGTAATGAGACTTCAGACGTTCAATGCCAACTGCTGAACACGGACTCGGGGAACCCCTTTCCCATCGTCACAGAGGTTCCATTCTTCTGTTTTCCATCTACACCTCGTCTCGATAGATCCTCCCTCGGAGTCATTTCGGTGGAGTGATACCCAACGGGAGAGAAAGAAAGAGACAGAGCGAGTCAGAAGGAAAATAAATCTGTCTATCAAGTCAAGCATTTCACTATGGCGATCCGATTCGGACCTATTCTCGTCTGGATTATCCGTGCTTTCCCCCCCATCTCAAGCATCAACATCAATATCAACATCAGCAATCGACCAGAAGCACACACCAACACCACCTACCTACTCCATCTCCCCAGAGACTGATCCCTTCGTATACAACGTCCAGACCAGGATGTCCGCCTCCCTTTCCCCTTCCTCCCTCCCTCCTCCTCCCAATGTACGTCCTCTCTCCCCCCAAACCCCTGATTCACTCGATACACATGATCCAAGATCCAAGAAGTATGCGGTGATGACAACCACACAGGGCCCAATATCGTGGGAGACAATATAGACAAACCGCCCAAACCAACAGCACCGAAACACCCTCTCCTCCCTGCCCGAAGCCTCGCCTCCGCACCCCATCCCATCCCGTCCCTTCCCTTCCTCTCCCTTGGCCCTTCGACCTCGATCCCTCCCAATAAAATCCACCCCGTATACACCCCTCTGTCTCCAAGGATGAAGCTTCACTAATCCCTTTCCCTCATCCTTCCTTCCTGATACCCTACCACATAGACAGACCATGGAATAGAACATTACCACCAGGTTATTGAGACCCCTTCCGGTACACCACTCCCGCACATAACATCACACACAGCAAGGAAAAGACCCATCATCCAAGAGGAACAAAATAAAACTCTGGTCACATCACAACCTCTACCATTCCATTATCATAAGCAACACTATAGTCACGACAACGGGGGGGGGACAAGTCACAATATCCCGCGACCCCTGAATGCCTACCTCACCTCCCGGAAAACCCGTCCATATTGACAATAACAGCAACGTTGAATCCAAAAAACTCCACGTTCCAATGCAATGCTAATCTATGCTTCCGGTTTTCTCCCTCCCGCAGCCTAGGTAGAGTACGAACAAACACCAAAACACCAATACTCCCCCTTTTTCCGAAGTATTGCCTCCCCGAAAAAGACACTAATCAACAGTAAAACCCCTCTAAGCACCATCGGCTCCCTTGTCCTTGCCAATATACACCGGAATGCCGTATACACATACCGCGCCAGCCGTGATGTACCTAAATCGACAGGCGTCCCTAGCCCTAGCGACGGCCTCCACGAGTGACGCGTTCCCACGCCCAGCAGTAGCACCCTTCGTCGCCTCCTTCTTGGGATTGCTCTTCTTCTCCGTAGCAGCAGTAGCAGAAGCAAAAAGCCCCTTGCCCTTGCCCTTCTTCTTCGAGCTATCCTCGACAAACGTGCCCCTTTCCATCAGTCCCCATTCCTCAAACAGCCGGCCCGCGTACCGGTCAATATCCCTATCCGTCACGTCCCACAACGTGCCCACGACAGCGGGGCACCCCGCGAGCATGTAATTCCACACGGGGCCGTGGCACTCGTACTCGCCGACGCTCTGCAGCGACGCCGAGCTACACCCCATCAGCAGCGCCGCCGCCTTGCACTTCTCCAGCCTGCGGATCGTTTTGCCTCGAATGTACTGCGCGCCGCTGCCGTGGCCAAAATAGAGGAGTATATCCGACTTCTTGAGCGCTCCCTCGAACTCGTCCTCGGTCGGTGCGCGCGAGACGATGCCCGTCCAGGACTCCCCCAACTTCTCTTTCAGGGGCTTTTCGAAAGTGGCGAGAGTGTTCTTGAGGTCGGAGCCGGGGTTCAAAATGTACGTGCCACCGACAGGAGAGACAGTGTGTCGGTGATGGCTTTTCTCTTGATCAGAATTCCGGGCTTCACGCTGCTCTAGGAGCAGTCGACGTAGACAGGACAATGAGGGAACGCGGGAAAACGCTAGCCCCTCCATGCACGGGAGCGATTCCCAAGGGAAAGCATGGAGAGCCTTGTCGAGTATCAGAATGCTATGTGCGCCTTCCTCGGGCTCCGAAGTCTTGGCTGCGGTATGATACGCTTGAAGGGCATCAAACGTCTCCAAGACCATGGAGTCAAAGTCAATCTCATCATAGGCGTTTCTCTCGCCATGGAACTGGAGAATATCCACAACAAAGTAGAGAAGATCGTTCAAAGGCTCCTCAAGATCGCTGTCCGGCACAGACGGATCTCCTAGACCGACGAAAAGGTCGAGGATACGCGGCTCCAGGGTAATCTTGGGGGACTTGCTAGTCTTTTTCCCTCGAACTTGCCTACGTGAAGGCAGATGCTTGTCGAGAATCTTGGAGAAGGCCTTCTGGAACTTGGCAATGAGATCAGCGCGATGACGGTGTTGAGAGAAAATGCCCTTGAACCCGCCAAGCCAGACCTGCTCAACATTGTCGAGGAGATCCTTGAACCTGTTGTCCAGGTTTTCGCGCTGAGCCCACCAGGCTGACTTGGCCCCCTTTGCAGAGTAGTCACCAGAGTTGTGGCAACTCGCGTTGGTCGCCTGGATAATGTCCATGAGCTCGTCGTGTCCATGCTGGAAGTCGAATAGCTCGTCTTCGCCATCACGAGAAGCCACACGCTCCAGCGGAAGTCGCAAGACAAAGGGGCTCTGGCCGGACTGCGACTTGGTGATGCACAGATCCTTGCGGTTGTCACTCAGCGCAACCGACAAGACACTCCACGCTTCAGGAATGATGTCAATGTAGTCGCGCTGGAATCTCGCCATGTCGTCAACAGTGACAATGCTCGCCCGTCTATCATCCTTAAGCGTAAGAGCAAGTGGCCAGCCCGCCTCGCTGAAGCTGGGGTTGAGTTGATCCGTAGCCACAGTGTTTCGTTCTCGTTTCCAAGTCAAATTTCGTGCAAACTCGACAGAGCAGGTGGCATATCCAAAGCCTCCCATATTTCTGGGCGTCCCATGAGAGGCTGCCGATAGGAAAATGCCCGTGCTCTGAAGCAACGCTGAGATGCGATGAACCAGGTGTCCGTTTCCTGAAATAGCAGCGGCAGCTTGAGCTTCCATCAGCTGAGCTTGCGCTTGTTCCAAAGTTTCGACAAAGGTTGCGTTTTCTTTCATCATTCTGCGCTCGGCAGAAGTCGCTCGGCCTTGAGCCTTCCGTGGAGAGGATCCCGTCGGTTGCGTCTTGTCCGTGTTATTTTTGTCGGGAGCAGCGTGGATGGACGGGTAGGAGATGGTCGATTCTTTCACGACCGAGAAGACCGAATCACCCTCCATCTGCTTGATACCCTGTTCAATCAAACAAGTGGCCTCGCCAATCTGGACTCGCAGAGACTCCCGCAAGCTGGTGGACATCTGCTTCGCCTCCTCCAGAAGGTCTGCTGCAGCAGCCCAGTCGCCCTTGCTAAGGTGGACAAGTGCTTTGTACAACAGCATGGAAGCCTTGAGGTCAGATGTGCTATCGTTTGCGGCGACGACGGCGGTCTTGGGAGCAGCAGCAGCAGCTTTTGTCTTCGGTGCTGCTACTCTCTTCGTGACTCTCGTGGCTCTCGTCGCTGTGGGGACCGCTGGCTTGGTCGCTCGTGTCCTACGCGTAGCCGGTGCCTTGATCGTGAGCTTGGCCATCTTAGTGACTACTTGCTCATCGTTCACACCAGTAATTGCGCCTCGGTTGCTGCTGTTCAAAGTCCCAAGTGTGACTTCGGCAAGCTCGAGGAGCAGGGTTTCGTTCTCGTGGTCCCTCATCTCTCCAAATGAAGCACTCAACTCACAAGCTAGCTGGAACGCCTGACGAGTTGGTTTGACAGCTGTGGCCATGAGCTGTCTGGCTTCGTTCAAGTAGCCAAGGCTCTTGTCGAGTTTGCAGGCCTTCAACCATACTGAACCAATCCAAGTAGCAGCCTGAGCCCTGTAGATGGAGGCGTTTGTGGCGTTGGCAACCTGGTGCGCCTTCTCTGCGTAATACACAGTCTCTTGGAACATTCCCAGATGAGCGTAGACTGAAGAAAGGTGCAGCATGGCTCTCAGCAGACCGCAAGTAAGGGCCCAGCTGTCGGGGCCGTCGGATAGTTCGATCAGATTCGTTGAGACGTCACTTGTGACAAGACTTTCCTCCGCATCAGGAGAACCTTCTCTCGAGGCCTGCTTAGACTCTGATTTGGACGCACCTTTCCAGCGAGCCTCTAGTTTCGTCCAGTCCTGAAATAAGATGCGGACCCCAGTCTTGGCGTGGAACAAAGCATGTTGGTACTCGCCTTTTTCCCATTTGATTCGGGAAAAGAGACAGGCAGCTCTTGCCATGAGCAACTTTCTTTGGAGCCTGGGAGCCTTTCTCGCATTTGAAGACTTTTCAAAGGTAATTTCACCTTGGAGGAGCATCTTGTGACTACTTGTTGTTAGCTCAATATCCAGGTTCGTTTTGAGAGAAAAGACTTACGCCGCATCAGAGTTTTGGTTTGCCAGCTGATACTCAGTAAGGGAGATCTGAAGGTTGATAGCACCAAAGTCTGGGTTGGCGGCGGTGGTTTCTGCGAGTTTCTTGGCTTTATTGAGAATTTCCTCGGCTTTTTCGGAATAACCGAGATGTGTGTACTGATCCGCGAGGTTGCTATGCGCCTGGAGAAGTAGGTCCGTGGAGGAGTCGGACAGCTTGGACGCAATGTCGGCACACAATGTCAAGACGGACAACAAGAACTCATCCTCGCCCCTGAGTCTTGCGTATTCTGCAATGGAGTTAAGCTGCCTGACGAGTCCCTCAGTGTCGCTAACTTTTGACAAAAGATCATCTTTGGTCTGGCACTGGTTGATAATCGTGCGCCAGATGCTTGTTGACTCTTCGAAGTCGGCCGTACGCCATTCTGTCTCTGTTGCAACAAGAGCCAATGTGGACGAGAGACCTGCTTCTAGGTCAGGGACGTATCCAGCCAGACTACCGTCGTCGCCAAAGTTGTGGTCACGACAGAGCTGCAAAGCAGCCTCCGCTTGCTCTCGAAGGCTTTGGAACTCGTCCTTGTCGCCGATTGACATGGTGAGCAGTTGCAGCAACGTCCGGAGGCGGCGGACAGGAAAGCGGTCGGGCGCGTAAATCCTCAAAAGAGCCTCGGTAACCGAATCCTTGATGTCGTTGGGCTTGGGATCGCTAGATGAGTTGGAGAGGATGAGTTGAATGATGCGCTCCAAAACCGCGGCTCTCTCAACGTCCGCAAGGAAGAAAGTCCAATCATTCCAGGATTGATCAAGCTTCACCATCGTACCTATTGTCCTTGACAATGTCTCGGCCTTGACGCTGGCGCTCCAGGCCACTGCAGGGGAACTCTCAGCCAAAGAGGCAGCCACTGTAGACAACACTCCGTCTTCGACCATGTTCGTGCAAATGAGCTTCAACGCGTCTCGAGCGTCGTTGACTCGGCCGGCCTGCTTACACAGGTCCGCAAAGTACTCGAGTTTGGCTGTCGTTTGTGCCTTCTCCTTCTCCTCAGAAGACCGGCCCTTGACACAATCCACAGATCGTCTCAGAGCTCGAAGGGGAGTCTTATCTCCGGGTTTAGGCTCTGCGTTACGGCGATACCAGTTGAAGAACATGAAGTAGAGGTGCGAGAGTTTGACATGGTAAAGATTTGAAGCGTCCGCTTTTGAGAGGGCAATACTCGCGTCGCCCAAAAAGTCCAAAAGCATAAGACACTCTTGAAGAAGGCCGTCGAGCACCGCCCAGGTCATCTTGTCGTCGTCGAGCTGAGATTTAGCGACCATCAGGGCTGAATCGAGGATTTGGGTTATCGAAGTGAGCAGTAGCTGCTTTCTCGACTCATAGCGAACGTGATCCTTGGGGGAAGCGTCTTTTGCTGGCGGCTTTCCTAGCCATCGAAGAGCGAATCGGGGAAATTGAATAACGAGGTTGTTGAGGAGTTCGTCTATGCTTTGAGATTTATCCGTGAGTTTACTAGCCAAAATCCCCACCGCCGACCTACGAGCAGCTGATAGATTAACCATGAGCTCTTCAAGTTCCGCAACGTCACCCTTCAGTGTCCCCTGAAGCGCGTCATAAACTTCCTTCAGGTGCGCAGATAGTTCTCCCAGGGGTAGCGGCGTCTGTTTCCCGTAAACAGCGACGAGCTGCGCAGCAATCGCACAGCACTTTGCTGGTGAATCATTGGCCGGGTCCAAAGTCCCCTTGATCTTCGAAATCCACTCGGCTGCTTCCTTGTAATGGCGTGCAGTCTGAGCCACCGTGCCCAAGGCCTGGTAAATCACAACAAGTGGCGATTTCGAAGCAAGCATCGGCTCGAGGCGCTGGCTCTTGACCATGGCGATGATGCGATCGAAAGCGTTGAAAGACTTGCGGTAGGCACCGGCCGAGTCAGTCTTGACCCTGCGAATGTATGAGGTGATGCATCGAGAAAGCGGCGAAATGATGTCCTTGTCAACATCTGCCTTGTGGCCAGCCATGGGCCACCAATGCAGACGCGCCTCCAATCCTATGGCTTGCAATTCCAGTGCGGTGGCCGGAGAGCAGCTTAGGCGGCGGTCCATGGCAACATCATCGTCTTTGCTTGCCAAGCTCGGGGCCAAAGAGAGGAGAAGCTGTGAAAGGAGGTCGAGCTGTCGGGCAGCCTTTGTCTTCTGGCCGGACTCTTTCCCAGATTCCAGGAGGAGGTTGATTGGTGAAGTCGGATGGGAAGGAACCAAGTATGGCAACGCTGCCTCGATCGTGGCCGGTTTCTTGTTTGCAGACATCAGGCGCAGGATCTGCATCTGAGTCGTGATGACCAGACCCAGAGTCGGGCCGGAGAACTTGGCATCACCAAAATCCAAAATTTCTGCGAGACCTTTGACTTTAGTGGTTGCCGCGGTTGTTTTGGCTGCTTTCGTCTTCGGTTTCGTGGAGGGAGTCATTGCGTCGATTCTTTGCCTCAAAAGCGTCAGCTCCCGCAGCGCGTGCTCCTGGAGATCCAGTCCGACAAGCTTGCCAACGAAAGAAGATATTCCGCTCTCGAGTTGCAGGTCGGGCAGTTGCACTGCGCCAGAGGTATGGAGCGATCTCAAACACGCAAAAGCAGCCCGTAGGCACTCTACCGTCGCAAGGCAAGTGACTGTGGGAATTGTTGTGGTCGCGCTTTTCGTGGGCTTCGGTGTAGTTGTGGGTGAGGTGGAGGTTCTGTTGAGTGAACGTGGCTGCATCGGGGTCATGGGCATGGAATTGGACCGCCTCAGGGGCCGTTTGTTCTGGGGCTTTCGTAGGTCGTCGCCTGAATTCTGTCGTCGGCACGGGGTCGAAGGTTGGGCGGGAGGCGCAGGCTTGGATGCCTCGGTGAGCGACTTGAGGGCGACGTTGATGATGTGTGCTGCGAGCGCTGCCTTCTCCTTTGACGTGAGCTCCTCCTTTTTGCTCGCGGCCGCGGCCCCTCGCGCTGCACCAGCCGTCTTCCCTCGCGTCGTTGCCGTTGCTGATTTTTTCTTCTGCGCTGTCGATTGCGCCTCGGCCTCGGTTGTGAGAAGTTCTTTGAGGAGCACCGTGGTTGTTGATGTGCATGTTGCAGTCGATGCAGCCGCCGCCTTGACGGCGTCGACTTTGCTTTGTAATGAAGTCATTGGGTTGTATGTAATCGTGTCATAAGAGTCGTTCCGTCATGAAGCCTTTTCGTAGAGAGGAAGTAGGATCGTTGCTTGATCCAAACATGGGCAAATAGCCGTTTGTAGGTACCAGTTTGATGCGTGACTTCATGCTAGTCCACAAAGGCCTGCAGTTGGCAGTTGTCAGGTCTCGCTAAACAATGCCCCGGAGCGTTGCCCGGAGCAACCGCAATCCCGGTTCGGTCCGTGCAGCAGGGACCATCGATGCACGGGCCATCTGGAAGTTGAGAACCGCGAAAGGGCTCCCGAGCTTTTTTGACTACTTCCAGAAGACATTCATTTCAGACAACAGCAGCATAGCGAAGAAGACGACGACGTGTTTTATTCTAGGGGTCGACCACTTCCCTTCAAGATGTCCCGAGTTGCGACCCACAAGCTGTTCGCAGCACCTTCCTCAGGCCTCCGCGCCGTAGCCCTTGCGCAAGCCGCGAATCGCTCCTTCTACGTCCAGTCGCGACACTCGAGCTCCCTTCCCACCGTAGCGCAGCTCGATTTCTGGAAGGGACTCATTCCCAAGCCATTCAGGCGCGAAGAGAAACTTACCGACGATCCCATGATCAAGCGAGTCAAGCCAAAGAGGAAGAAGGAATGGAACCCGGCCACGTTCTACATTGTCATTTTCCTCCTGATCGGCTCCATGTCCATCAACATGTTGTCGACGAAGCAAGCGTTCGAGGCGTTCTCGCGACAAGCAGACGTCCGCATCGGCGTCTTGCGGGAGGTGGTTGAAAAGCTACAGAGGGGCGAGACGGTTGATGTGGAGAAGGAGTTGGGTACGGGTGACCATCAGAAAGAGTTGGACTGGGAGGAGAGTACGTTTTCACGAATCACAAGCGCCCAGGTTGCTTCGACTTTGCTAACACGAGATTGCTACTTAGTGCTGAGAGAGATTGAGCGAGAAGACGTGTCGCGACAGAAGAAGCAGGAAAAGGCATCGCAAGCGGAGGCGGCAGCAGCGGCGAGTAGCAGGGCCGAAGCACAACCGACTGCGGCGGTACCCGAAGCCGCGAGACCGCCGGCGCGGGGCATGTCGAGCTTTTTCTAGATTTTCTCGAATGGCAACGCTTTGGATTGGTACAATTCTATGACAACATATCTTTAAACACGCCATGGTTCTCTCTGGGCGCTCCTACGGTCCCAACCGGTCCCGAAGCGCTCTTCGGAAGCTGGCGTAGCTGCTCTACCAGCGCGGGAAGCACAACGTCGGTGGACACTTCTGTCCGAACTCCTCGAACACCAGTGGGCTCCGGATCTTCCACGGCCGAGATCTGGTCCTCGCCTCGGACGCCTCCTGTGTTCACCACCGCAATAGGCATGCCGCGATCCAGCGCCCTCTTAGCTAACCGCCACGCAGAGTACGTGGCCAGCGAGGTTCCCAAGATGAGGAGCCTTCCGGCCCCGTCAATGGCCTCTTCGGCCGCCGTCTTGACGTCGCTCGGGATGCTCTCGCCAAACATGACCACGGCGGGCTTCAAGATGCCCCCGGAACTAGTGGGTTTCCACGCACCATCGTGGTCGACTTCGACAACGTGCTTGGTCCCTTGGGGCGTGGCCGGCGGTTTCGCGAGGCAGTGCGGGCAGGCCGGATATCTAAAGGTGGTGTACGGCGCGCCTGGCAGATCCACGTCGCCGTCGGGGTTAGTCCGGATGCCCTTGGCCTTGCGCTCGGCAGGATTTTCCGTGTCGAGAGCCCCAGAAGCTAAAGCTTCGACGAGAAAGGCTGCCCAGGCCGGGTTGAGCCTCGCAAGCTCATCCTGGAAGGCGTCTCTGGGGTATTCGTTCCTGCAAGTCACACAGACTGTGGACCTTAGATAGCCGTGCAGCTCTAAAGTTGAAATGTCAGGATGAGCTTTTGAGTGAAATGAGTCGACATTCTGCGTGATGACGCTCCGAATCAGGCCCATCTGGCCCATATCCCGGAGGGCATAGTGTCCGTGATTTGGCGACGCCTTGTGAAGCGACGTCCAACCCAAGAAACTCCTAGCCCAGTACCGTTTCCTCGCCTCGTGGTTTGCGAGGAACTCGTGGTAGTAGATGGGGCGGTAGGTTTTGTTCACGCGATAGGTGCCATTGACGCCTCGATAGTCGGCGAGACCGCTGGAGACGGATAGGCCCGCCCCAGTCAATACGACGGTCGACCTCGGCAGGCCCTTTGGAGGCGGGGCCGTAAAAAAGTTCTGGAGGGCCGCGACAGCACCGGGGATGGTGTTTGCAGTGCTTGGACGGACTGTGGGAGGGGCCAAGAGTTCCGTGTAGGGAATGCGCATAAGAGGTTTGCGCATTGGGGCGATGATGGTTGTGTTGGTGGTTGAGGTTGCGTAAGGCCTATCGGGATGTGGGAGAGAGTTCCGGAGCCGCTTAAGAGTCAAGGGGGAAGGTAGCTCCGGATGATGTACGTGGACTGCGGCGGAGGCTCAGCAAAACAAAAAAAGGGAGGAGAGTTGCACGGGAAAGGGGGTGGGAGGAGATCGTTATGTGGACATGTTAACCCTGGCGTTGAATTTAAGAATAGAAGTGATCAAGGGACGGAAGGAGATTTCTGACAAGCGCGTGTTAATGGAAACGTTGCGACAGGCTCAAAGTCAAGGCCGCATGGTTGAGTCGAAGGGGGCGATCTGATTATCAGTGGTCAATTCGTCATGATTTGGGGAAACCAGCATGCCAGCCTGCGAATCCACCGGACCCCATAAGATGACCAAGCCCAGTGTGGCTTGACTTAGTCAAGGCATTCGCTTAGGTAACATGGGTCTTTTAGAGGTTTTTCCTTGACACAGGCCACATCGGGTGTCTGCGACAAGAGACGGCGCTGCGTCAGATTAGAGAGGTGTGAATTCGTAGCCGTACGGAGTACAGACTATCTGTTTTACGGAGAATTTACATTTTGAGATGTACTCTGGATCGGCGGTCTTTGAGGGTGATATTTGATTACGCAGTAAGATTCTCAGGGGCATCTTGCGTGGCCTTATTGCCCAATGACAAGTTGGTTCAACCACACCTCCGGACTTGCAGCTCGAGGACGAAGTTACCTTCTGGAGAGAGACAGTCCGACGGTCACATTTGGTTCTCTACCGTGGTGGTTGTAGCGGACCATGCCCGTTGTTCTTTGGTGGGCAGGACAGACGGGCATGCATCAGTATCCGTACTTTGAATGGAACTATGGATACGGACGCAAGCCGATGGGATGTGCTGGATCCGTGACGACTCACAATAGGAAAACCACCCGTAGCTTTTTCTGCTAGCAGTTTTGGGTTCCATACGTAGTATGCGGATACATAGGAGGGTTTAAGCAGCGGGCGGGCGTGGCTGATGCATGTCGTGGCTTTCTCCAAGTACCTTGCCTTAAAGCGGGTAATGCATGGAGAAGCATAACGTGTACGAATCCTCGGTGTATTAACAAGGTAGTAAGGTACTAAGCATTTTGGCACTGTATTAAGCAGTAAAGTTACCGTAGCGCAAGGTTAATAAAGAAAAGCAAAAAAAAAAAAAAAAAAAAAAAAAAAAAAAGAGAGAGAGAGAGAGAATTCAAGCTTCTTCCCCATAGCAATTCCCGGCGGCGCCGTATGTATGTTGTCCACATCTGCGGCAAGACTGAACAAGTCATTTTCGAAGAAATTTGCTACCACCCGCGGGAGGACGGGGGGTACGTAGCTTCGGACCCCATTGAGTTCATGGATGTGTTCCTCTCTCTTGGCGTAAAAGTTGCATCCGTCAATCAAATGGAGCCAATCCATTCAACTCTCGCCTTGTTGGGGTTTGATCATTGGTGCATTGCCAATTGGCGGTGGTGGCATCCGATTCTCCATCCCACTTCACTGTTCAGTCACTCTGACACTCAGTCTTCAGGTCTGCCATCCCATCCTCGCCAGGCACAGCCTTTTAGCTCGGGTCGGTTGCTCGGGGGTGGACAAGTACATGGTAGGGGTACCCTTTACATCAGCAAACCAACCGAACCGCAGCAGACGTCCGGAGTACCGGTACTGCCTCTGCATGAATTGCAGTGGAAATACTTGACATTTCCATATGTACCTAGTTGTATCTGAGTAAGTACTCGCACTCTGTACGGAGTATGCTACCTGCATTGTAAGGTACCCAACGGAGGTCTTAGCCGCAAGTTGCAGCAGATCAGATCAACCCGCCCTGCCGCTACGCTGCCGCTACCGCCGCTGCCGGACCCTCGCCTTGTCAGTTGGAAAGTTTTGTCTTCCTTGCAACGAATTGCCGCGTCGCCTTTCTTTTCTTTTTGCTGGAGACACACACTTGACACAGTCTCGCACAATACACACATACACACACACACACAACACACACAACACACGCGCGCACTTTTTTGGCACTTTGTGCTTCTACCTACCTACCTCCGAGGCATTGCGTTTTGGGTACAGTGCAGACCAGTCAGTCTCCAATCGAGGAATTAACTCTCACCCCCCGTTCTTACGCCTGCTGCACCCCAAGTCCCCCCCAATTCGTTCCCGTAACCCTTTCCCTCCCTTTCCACCTGGACCACACACCCCTCGTCTCCTCCGTCCACCTTCCGTCTACCGATCTATTCGTACCTGCCGCACGGTACGGTCCTGTTCGGTGTGTGTGTCGCGGCTTTTCGGGCTGGGCTTGTCATGTACGCGTCCCTGGCCTGCTTGCAATTACCCAACCCGTTATTCGTCCCCTCCCCCCTTCCGTCACAATTTACCTTGACCCTGCTTTGAGAGACCGCAGCGAAAGAGAAGGCGCGAGACCCAGAGACACGCCTAGCTACGCCTACGGAGTACACACTATCCGTACACATACGCACATACACGCAAATACCTTATACACACACACACACACATACACAGCCGAGGGCATATTGGTATTGGATCTTACTCCTCAACCCGCCCCAGGCATGTCGACCCCGTCCAAGCGTCCCACGGCACTGCTCCGCCGCCTTTCCGCTGTGAGTGGGAGTGCGTGGGTGACGTCTCCAAGAACGGGAACGGGAACGCACACCCTCCTCCGCTGCCTCAATTCTGCCTACCCCTTTAGGCCACCTCAACCACATCCAGCTCTGCGCCGCCTCTCCCTCCGCGTCTATCAAACATCCAGCCCGGCCGCCTCTCCCTGCGATCCTTACTTAACCCCCAGCGCCGCCCGCCTCCACCTGACCTCTTCTGCTTCCTCCCTCCCTCACCTCAACAACACCTTGACGGCTGCGAAGAACTCATCCCCTTCATTACCAGCAACTGTCATCATGTCTGCAACCACCACTGCCACCATGACCGCCAACCCGCCTCAGTCTCGCAAGAGCCATGGTCATCACCACCATCACCACCACGGCCACGACAATGTCTACCTGACCTCAGCCAACAAGAACGATGCCGGCGTGCGCATCACTCGCATCGGCCTCTACTCCAACCTGGGCATGGCCTTTGCAAAGGGCGCCGGTGGCTACGCATTCGGCTCTCAAGCCATGATTGCTGATGCCTGGCACAGTCTGACGGACCTGGCCTCCGACGTCCTGACACTGGCCACCGTTTCGTGGAGCTTGAAACCCCCGACCGCAGCCTTCCCCACTGGTTTCGGCAAGATTGAGAGTCTGGGGTCTCTGGGTGTCTCCAGCATGCTTCTGGGCGGTGGCCTGTTCATGTGCTGGAGCAGCTTGATCACCCTCCACGCTCACCTCTTCCTCGACCCTGCAGCTGCTGCAGAGGCCATTGCTCACGCTCATCACGGTCACAGCCATGGTCATGGTCATGCTACTCCGAGTTTGCACGCTGCTTGGTTGGCCTTGGGAACAATCGCAATCAAGGAATGGCTGTACAGAGCTAGTAAGCACAATTCCCCCCTAATCCTTTCAGGCCTCAGTGGCTGCAGAGAACAAAGCTGACAAGGAGAAAAACAGCCATGAAGGTTGCCGTCGAACGAAAGTCCTCTGTCCTCGCCTCCAATGCCATTCACCACCGTGTCGACAGCTGGACCGGCATTGTCACACTCCTTGCTATCCTCGGTGCAAACTTTTTCAAGGATGCGACCTGGCTGGATCCCGTTGGTGGCCTGATGATTTCTCTCCTCGTCATCAAGGCTGGTGCCGAGAACACTCTGTCTTCTGTATACGAATTGGCCGACCGCGCTATTGACGATGAAATCAAGGGCGATGTCCAAAAATACGCCCTCCGAAGTCTCTCTGATGTCACAAATGGCCACGAGGTTGATGTTCGCAATGTTTCGGGTGTCAAGTCCGGTCAGAACTACCTGGTGGATATTGACTTGGCTGTGCCCGGAGCTTGGTCCGTCGAGGCTGTCCGCGAAGTGGAGGATCAGGTCCGTACTCTTGTCGGTGCCAAGGTCCGGGGTGTGCGGAGAATCAAGGTGCGCTTCGTCCCGAAGGAGGCCGAAGTTGCGCGCCCATTCGATGAGTTCATCCCCGGAGAAGCCAACCGAGAGGCTAGCGAGGAGGCCGACGACCACAGCCACACCAATGGCAATGGCCACAAGCACGACTAAGGCAGCCAGTTTCTATGTACAGTTGGAGGAAGAGCTTGCCATTCACGACGAGATACCCTTGGTTTTCTTTACCATTTCTGGGAGCGTGGTAAAGCCACCGTCCTTTTTTTTTTCGGTCTACGGGAGGGGGTGTTGCCATGTATAGAGAGCATTCTTGGAGAGAGTCCTCCAAGGCATCCATTTGCATCAGGGCGGCGTTTAGGGAGGGATCACAAAAGGCCAGCGACAGGCCGGTCGTCTCGAGAGACTTGTTTTATATCTCTCGTCTGCTGAATAACAGATTTGCTTTGTTCTGAACTGTGTCTATTCCCGTCGCATCATGGTATTTCATGGGAATGCTAGTCGTTGAAAAAGTGCCCGTCTATCCTAGCCAATCTCGCAAGTGCGTTCCACGCAGCGGGACCCTTTAAACGCGGCAATATGCAGGGCGGCAGGGCGCATAGAACACGGGACGAGCTATTCCCGACCCCCGAGTCGAGGGGACAAGGCTGTCTTGGCTTCCGCCAAGACGTCACACTATCATTGGCGCGCCTATTCGTCGCATCAATCTTGAGCCACATGATTGGTCTGCCCGCTTTTAGCCTGAATTGCCACAAGGCTGAGGGCACCATGCAACCTGTCCCAAGTGACAAGTGGTGCCCCTCCATGCCCACACACACCCCACGTCAACGTGATGTACAAAGTAGTGGGCAGCGGTCAACTTGATTCCAGATAACCGGATATTCTGTGTGTGTCCTTTTTCTCCTTTCATATGACGATTGACCAATTCTTGCTTGCTTGGACAAATTTGAGATAGACCGATACTTAATTGACTCCCCCCCCGGAGTGTTGTGCAATACCTCTCATCCATCTCACTTCATCATGAGTTCAGGTCCCTTGTATCTTGGGTTCGACCTGTCGACCCAACAACTCAAAGGTCAGCCAGCCAACGGAAATCCCATCTCATCGGAATTGAACAACCCATTCTAAAAAACCTCCCTTCATCACAGCAATCGTCGTACAGTCCGACTTGACCGTCGTCTCCGAGGCCAAAGTCGACTTTGACGCCGACTTTGGCAAGCAGTATGGCCTGCGCAAGGGCGTCTTGACCAACGAGGCCGAGGGCGAGGTCTACGCCCCCGTCGCCATGTTCCTCGAGGCCATCGATCTCGTTCTTAGCCGTCTCAGCACCAAGACGCCAATGGATCGCATCAAGGGCATCAGCGGCTCGTGCCAGCAGCACGGCAGCACCTACTGGGGTAAAGAGGCCGAGACGCTCCTGGGCGGGTTGCAGTCCGACAAGCCGCTCGTCGAGCAGCTCAAGGGGGCGTTCTCGCACCCGTATGCGCCGAATTGGCAGGATCACAGCACGCAGGCGCAGTGCGATGAGTTTGATGCCAATTTCGAGACAGCGCAGCGCTTGGCTGAGGTTACTGGCAGTGCTGCACACCACGTATGTTGCCCCTCATGTTTTGAACCCATGCACAAAACACTGTATGGCATTCATGAGTTGAGTGAAATTCTTTACTGAAACGTTCATGTTGCTGTAGCGCTTCACCGGCACGCAAATCATGCGCCTCCGCCAGAAGCTCCCCGAGATGTACGCCGCCACATCCCGCATTTCCCTCGTCTCCTCCTTCCTCGCCTCCGTCCTCCTCGGCGCCGTCGCCCCCATCGACATCAGCGACGTCTGCGGCATGAACCTCTGGGACATTTCCGCTGGGAACTGGAGCGAGCCCCTGCTCCAACTCACCGCCGGCTCCCACTCCGGCGCAGCAGCAGACCTCCGCGCCAAGCTCGGCGAGCCGCGCCACGACGGCGGCGGGTCCATGGGCGGCATCTCGGACTACTTTGTCCGGCGCTACGGCTTCAGCGCAGAGTGCCAGATCGCGCCCTTTACAGGCGACAACCCGGCCACGATCCTCGCGCTGCCGCTGCGGCCCATGGACGCCATCGTCTCGCTGGGCACGAGTTCTACGTTCTTGATGGTCACGCCCGTGTATAAGCCCGACGCGGCGTATCACTTCTTCAATCACCCCTGCACGCCGGGCCAGTACATGTTTATGCTGTGCTACAAGAACGGCGGGCTGGCGCGCGAGCGCGTGCGGGATGCGTTGCCGAAGCCTGAGGGCGGCGGTGACCCCTGGGCCAACTTCAACAAGGCTGTTCTCGATACGCCGCCGTTGGATGTGCGGTCGAAGGAGGAGGATGGCGCAAAGTTGGGGTTGTACTTTGACCTGCCCGAGATTGTGCCGAACATCAAGGCCGGCACGTGGCGGTATACCGCCCAGCAGGACGGAAGCGCGCTGGCCGAGGCTAAGGAATCGTGGTCCAAGGAGACGGACGCGCGTATCATTGTCGAGTCGCAGGCCTTATCGATGCGTCTGCGCAGCCAGAACCTCGTCCACAGCCCGGGCTCCGAGTCCAGCTCCAAGATCCCCGCGCAGCCGCGACGGATTTACCTCGTCGGCGGCGGCTCGCTGAACCCTGCCATTGCGCGGGTCATGGGCGACGTGCTGGGCGGGGCGGAGGGCGTGTATAAGCTCGACGTGGGCGGGAACGCGTGTGCTCTGGGCGGGGCGTATAAGGCTGTTTGGGCGCTTGAGAGGGGCGAGGGAGAGACGTTCGACGAGTTGATTGGGAAGCGGTGGAAGGAGGAGGGGGCGATTCAAAAGGTTGATGAGGGGTACAAGGACGGTGTGTTTGAGGGGTATCAGCCTGTTGTTGGGGCTTTTGAGGAGATGGAGAAGAGGATTTTGAAGGTTGCTCATAACTGAGTGGCTGAGGGAGGGGTTTGGTGATGGGAGGTAGAGGGTGGGGCTTTAGATTGATAGATTATGAGAATGAATGAAATGCGATTTCACTACTGTATTTTGTCAGGAAGCGTTCTTCATGTTGCGTTTAAGGATTTGGACTGTGGAAGACTTTCTTGGGCTGGTAGTACTTGGGCTGACATATGAATCTTGTGGCAGACCACTTCTTCAAGTCGTCGTTCACAACACATCAAAACACATCACAACACATAAATCACAGAGATCAAGTCATCAAGTGTGGAATAATGGGTTCGTGCTGGTATTATTTAGGCACTGGTCCATGCAAGCTAAACCCAATCCTCCCTTCCAACCTCGGATCCCTCTCCAAACCTCAAAACTATTCCTTAACACCCAGAAAGTTTTCCTAGCCTAGCGGGTTCCAAATCATGAAATGAAGAAAAGAAAGGACTTCTGTGCAATTTCCTCCCCGTGCCGAAAGTACCAAATCCATGAAACCGCATGAGAAAGAGTTCCGTCCGTAATCGTTATCGTTCCGTGATGAAGTGGGTATCAATCATCCATCCATGAGAAAAGTAAAAAGAAAAGCGTCAAAAAACAGGGGAGTTTTTTCCTTGATGCCAGTTCTCCAATCGAAAAAGTGAAAGGAGAACCATGAGCGCAAAAAAGGTAAAAACTAAAGAAAGAAAAACACACAAAAAGAATGGAGAAGGTAAGCGTTTGCTCTTCTTAGAGTAGAACCATCAGGCCCAGCACAGAGATGGCAAGCCAGGTGGTGCAGCCCTTACAGCCGCCCATGATGCCCTCAGCATGCTTGTCCGCGGTGCCAGAGACGACGACCACAGTGCTCGTGCTCTTGGGCTGCTCGGTGACAGTCGCGGAGGAGAGCGTGGGGTAGTGGTAGGTCGTGGGGACGTGGCGGGTAGACGACGTCATGGCGGTGCCGTTGACGGAGGGGGCCAAGGGGCTCGGGGCGGTGGGGTGCAGCATGGGGGTTCCCGTGATGGTGATGGTGGTGTTCAGCGTAATGGGCACCTCGACCACGGACGTGGCGGTCGCGGTGACGGTCGTGTTCTTGCCGCTGCCCACGTGAGAGGTGGACGAAGAGGCAAGAGAAGACGAGGCGCTGCCGCTGAGGGTCGCGGTGGCGGTGGCAGTGACGTTCTTCCAGACGGTAATCAGAGACGTGAAGACCTGGCCGCTGACCGTGGTGGTGTAGGTGTGGACGACTCTGGACGCGGACGCGGTGATGACCTTTGTCTCGGTTCTGGTGGAGTTGGAGGGACTAGAGAACGACGAGGAGAAGGTGCTAGACGGCTTGGGGCGGACGGTCACTGTGGCCATGCCTCCAATTGTGACAGTCTGGGTTGCGCGATCGGTAAGGTAGATCGTGGTGAGAATGGACTCAGCAGACTGGGAAGATGACTTGGAGGGGGAGGCGCTGGAAGGGGAGGCAGTGACGGTGACGATGGAGGTCTGGGTATCTGTCTGGACATCGGCCGAGTGCGAAGAAGACGAGGCCCTGACGGTCTTGAACACGTTGGAGGTGATCGTCTTGGTCAAGACGACGACGTCCGTGGCGGTCGAAGCCTGGGCGGTTCCGGACGAGGAAAGCGAGGTAAAGATTGGAATGCCGGCGTGGCCGAGCTGGGAAGAGACAGTGGTCCCGTGTCCAATGGAGACGATGACGGTCCGGGTGGCCACCTGGGTGACGACGATGGTCGACTTGGAGGCGGGAACGAGTGTGGAGGAGGTCTTCTCGCTAGAGATAGAGCTGCTCATGACGGGGCTCGTGGTAGGGGGGTACAGACTGTCAATCGTGACGGTGTAGGTGACCAAGACGGTGTCGGTGGCCGTGGAAGGGGAAACCGAAGAAGAAGAAGACATCTTGGAGGAGGCCTTGGAGCTCTTGGACTGAACGCTCGAAGAAGAGCTGGCAGCGCCAGGAGTGAAGGTCTCGATGACGGTGACGTAGACGGTGTGGTCTTCAACCTTGTGGGAGCACTGGGCCTGAGTAGTAGAGCTCAGGGGGCCTGCAGTGACGTAGATGGTGGACTTGACGACAGTCGTGGGAGTAACCGTGGTGGTTGAAGAGAACTCTCCGGTAGAGATCAAGGGAGCGCCATGGATTGTGGTCTTGTGCGTCTGGGTCAGGGTCTTGGTAAGGAAGACCGAGGTGATCTCAGGGTGAGAGCTCTCAGTTGGGAGCCAGCCGCCGGTAGTCACGATGATGGGAGGCCCGTTCTCAACAGAAGACGTGAAAGCGATGGCAGACTCAGAGGACTCGAGGGACTCGGAGGACTCGGACACGACATTGCTCTGGTGGGCGGTGGCCGTGTGGTACGCAGTCTCAGTGACAGAGGTTGTAAGGACCTCGGTGACAACTGGAATGGACCTGAAAAGGAAATGAGCAATTTGGACTTTGGAAGCAGAAGGAAAGGGAAAGCTGAGGAGAACTTACTGGGTGACAACAGAAGAGCCGGGAAGAGTGGTGTTGACAGGCTTGGCAGACGAGACAGTGGTACCCATGGGAGACTTGTGAAGGGTCTGGGTGAGAGTCATCTGGACGTGGGTCGTGATAGTAGTGTCAACAGAGGCGGTCTTGTTGTTTCCAAGGA